GCTTATTTAATATATAAATAATACTCTAATATTTTAATAATCTAGATATATTAAGTTCTTAAGTCTTAATAGTTCTAGTAAAAGTTCTCTTTAAAAACTATTTATATTACTAGTATTATATTAATAAATTAAGCCTTTAATACTATAATAGTAGTTTAAGTAATATTTCTTTGCTTTTCTTATATATTATTTCGAACCTAGCTACCTATATAGCTAGAATCCGTAATATATACTATTTATAACTAATTATACTAATAATAGGCTCAAGTAATAGTATTTCTAGTACTATTTTATTACTAAAATAGACTTCTTTTTCGAAATTCCTTAGTATTTTACTAATTAAAAAATATTTATTTTCTTTTTTCTAGGCCTTAAATTATAATATTATAGAAATAGTATAATATTTTATTACTATTATTTATAGGGCTCTTTATTTTATATTTTATAACTTATTATAAAATATAAATAATAAAGTATTTTTATTTATATCTATTATAAAGTCTGGCCTTTTTAATAGCCTATTAGTAAGATTACTATATCCCGACTAGTATTCTAAAATAAAGTTAAAAATAGCTAGCTTCTTTATTTATTTTATTTATTAACTATTTAGTTTTCTCTTAGTTATAAAATATTTCAAGTTATTATAATTTATTTTAATAATAATAATAATATATTAGATATATACTAGATAATACTACTAAATATAAAATACTAGAATAATAACTAAAAGCTTAAAATTATATATTTTATACTTATTCTTAATTATAGTTATTTTCTTTAAATAGAAGATAATAGGATATTATCTAGCTTTTGCCCTTTTATTAAAGAACTAGGAAATTATATCTATAATTATAAATCCTAAAATATTTATTTTTATATAAATTTTTAAGGCTAGATTAAAATAATAAAAAATTAGTATTATTATAAATTGTGAGGTGTTTGTTGGTAGGCAATAAGACAATAGAATGAATTAGTGTATTGTGAAACCACAGTATTAAATTCAGTATAGAACTAATCTCTGTCCCTCCTGTAAGGTCCAGGGAAGCCCCCTCTAAATAGGAGGCCCCGATGGCATATATATAATTAGTGATTTATAAGCCTAATGCATATGATATAAACAGTGGTTGGTTGGGATATCGAAGGGCTGCCGAACTCCCTGATTGACACCCGCAATATCCGAGGTTCGTCACATGCCCTTAAGTCACGTGCGACCCTGCACACATCACATAAATATAATTTATAGCTTCTTAAAAGCCTTATTTGCCTTATTTATTTAGCTAAAATAATATTATAGGTTTCTATTAGTTTTTAATAAATTAGTTAATTCTTTTATTATTCTAAAATATTTATAAATAAACTTCTAGTAGAAATTAGTAAAATCTAGAAATACTTAGATTTCTTAGATATTATTTTTTGGGGCCGGCTATTTTCTAATAACTATAATTCTACTAGCTTTTATTTCTATATTATTTAGGCTAATTATAAACTCTAGGAACTTTATTCTTTCTATATTAAACTCGTATTTTACTAAGTTTATAAAAAACTAGTATTATTATAACTATTTAAGTATATATTAGACTACTACTATATATTATTCTGGATTCTCTAAATAAATTAAAATATTATTTAGATAGACTATATAAATAATATTTATAAGGCCTATTAGTATATAGTTAATATATATCTGAAATATTACTAGAGTATTAGATAATTTAAAAAAATATAATATAATACTTAAAATATTTATAATATATTTAAAATACTATTTTTTATTTATTATTTTTCTATATTTATAACTAATAGTAAGTATTTTTTAAGTCTAGCTTTATATATATTTTTGCTTTATAAAGCTTATTTATAGTTTTATTAATAAGTAGTAATAGTATTTAGGTCTTAATAATAATTTTATTTAGATTCTAGTAATTAATATATAAATATAGGTTGCCTTCTTTTTTTAGAATAAATATAATTAAAATACTAGCTAGGCTAGTAAAATAATAGATCTATTTCTTTTCTAGACTAATATTAAGATATTCCTAAAGAACTTTAAGCTTTCTTTCTAATAAAATATATATAGAACTATATAATAGTTAGAACTCTAGTTCTAGATCTATATAATACTTTATTATATAGTAGTTAAATAATATATTTATAGCCTTTATAGAAAAAATTTAGAAAAAATTCTAATATTTCTTAAGAAATATAACTATTCTATTAGTAATAATAATAGTAATTTTTTAATTATCTATTATAAAATAAGTAATTAATAGAAAAACATATATTTTATATTTTATTATTTTAGTAAACTTCCTAGTATTTAGAACTTTAATCTTTTATAATTAAATCTGGTATTTCTATATTACTTTTCTAAAAGAAATTAGAGAATTAATCTAGTAAAGCTATAAGAATTCAAGTATTATATTAATATAATTTAGATTGAAATTATATAATATAAAGTATATATTAGTCTTTTTTTAGTTCCCTAGTATATTTTTAATAATAACCTCAAGAATATAATTTCTATATAAATAGATTCTTCTTTTTTCTAGTAAAAATAAAGGAATTATTCTTAATATTAATAAAATACTTATATTTAAAGCTAATTTCCTCTTTATATAATTAGCCTCTATATCCGAGTTTATTAATATTCTAATTCTTTACTTATTTTTTCTTATTTTAATAATAATTTTAATTATTATTCTTATTTTAGGAACTTTATTTTCTATAATATAAATAAGTATAATTATTATCGAATATATTTATTTCCCGGCTTCTTTAATTCTAAATATTTATATAATTTATAACTAGACTTATTATAGTTATAATAAGTTAGTTTCCCTTAATTAGGGCAAATAATAATATAATAACTCTTTTTCTAGTAAATAAAGCAAATTATATCCGATTTTATAGATCCTAATATAAGTATTATATTAGATCCTATTATTATATTTTTATTATTCTAGTTTTATAAATCTTATAATAAGAATATACTTCTTTTTTATTTCTCTTTATTATTTCTTTTTTCTTTTTTCTTATTTTCTTTTTTTTACTATTTTATTAGCTTATTATTATATTTCTATTAAATAAATAGGTTTAAATTATTCTTAATTCTTATAATAATAAAGATAAGCTTTTCTTTCTCTTATAAAGTATTTCCTTAATAATTAATTTTATTTCGGATTTTCTATTTTAAGCTACTAAATAAGTTATTTTATTCTTATAATAAACCCGTATATCCTAAGTTATCTAATAGGCTATTTAAATAAAATATAAAGCTTTAAATACTTTAGTCTGGCTATTATTTAGTATCTTTAAACTTAATAAAGATATTATTATTATAGTTTTCCGGATCTAAAATAAAATTCTTTATAAATTTAATAAAGATTTCCTAATCTATAATATTAATACCTACTAATTACTTCCTATATTTCTAGATATTCCTGGCTATATTCTTAAAATAGGAAATATAATATAATCTTTACTATATTAGTAGCCCAGGTAATCCTGCTATTTTTATACTATTTTAACTCTGCCTAATAAAAGAAGTCCTGGGCTTCTTTAATATTCTTTCCCTAGTAAATAGGCAGTTCTCGGGTTTTTGGAGTTCTCTAAACCAAGAATACCGCCAGGGATATAACAGATTCTATACCAGGTATCTAAATATCTTTAAGATAACGGATCTAAGCTTCTAGCTTCTCTAGATCTTCTCTCTATTATATCTCTATTTCTAACTTAGTAATATAATAGTAAGCCGCTACTAATTTCTCTGTTATTATTATTCTATCTGCTAGTTCTGGGGGCATCTGAGTTCTACTTCCTTTTCCTAATTAGGCAGTACGAAGAGTACTTGACTGGGTGCTTCCCTGGGTACCCGGTTGGATTGCCCTAGCGGTAGTAGAGGCGCTTCTCCTGGTTAATGCTCTAGTTATTAATATTTTGTCTATTAATAGCTTGACTACCTTGTAACGAACTGCTCCCCGAAGGTTAGATTAATTAGAATATGAGGTACGTAATAGTAGGGTAATATACAAGTAGTCAAGGTAAGTAAGCTACGGAGTAACGCTTACAAGTATAACTAATTCCAAGAATTAATTCTAACAAAAGACTAATTAATGCCCCTTTCCAAAGCTAGGAGCGTCTCCCTATATATTCCCTAGTACTTAGCCAAGCCTGCAAAGCACTTTACTTAACTAGGAAATACGATCCCATGCGATCCGTACGATTCCGATCGCAAGCTTTACCTAAAATAGGAAACTAGATCCACGACATCTGATACCTGTCCATGCGTTATCACGTGTGCCCATCACAGCTAAATCCTGATTAGGAGGGTGGCACTTTGCATATCCACCCTTTGATCCGGATAAACTCGGCGTATAGTTTTTTTTGTACTTTGTATTTTCAAAGCCTGAAGGCATTATTTTTCCTTAATAGAAGTTTCGTATTATAGCTCCGAAATTCAATAATAGACCAATATTCATGATTGAACAAGGGGGAATTAATAAAACGGATCTTGACGCCACTAATAGTGTGATTGACAGCACAACCAAAACTATAGTATTTCTTTTGCTACAACTAAGTCCTGATAGAGAAATGACTAAAGAATAATAGTATACTAACTATAGCTTTATATATTTTTGTAGAAAATATTTAATGCCTCTAAACTATAAAGTCGTCTCGGCACGCAGGGATGCACGTTAGCACTGGCAACGGCTGCAGAAGTGTGGGGCAGCCTTGCGGAAAGCTGAGCTCTCCCATTAACAAACCACTATTTCTCCTCCAAAAGTAACTCAATCCACAGACTCACCAATCAAGAAAGGGAAAGGATTAAAGTGTATGCATCAATTCATTATTATAGACATCCAATCATCGTCTTGGCTTTTCCCGCTGTTCGCAGGCCCAACTTCGAAACCATGTCCAAAAGAGATGAAGAAGGCAGACTGCCAGCTGAACTATTTTACAATACCCGAACTCCATCTTTCCCGCTGGAATCACGAAACGCATCAAGAGAAATCTACCGTCCCTGAAGGCTGATTTGGACGATTCCGCTCCGCTCTCCTTCGCCTCCGTCGCTCATCTACTGTTTCACTCCCAGTCGGACTCATCGCGCTCCATGTTCCATGGCTCTCAGGACTGCCGACTCCACTTCCATGCGCTGGACCAACTCCGCCACTACCACTTGCTTCGCCAGGTCGACCAGAATAATACGCGCTATCCTTTGGCCTTCTCCCTCCTGCGAACGCCGGATTAGGTGGATTGAGCGGAGCCATAGCCGGTGGCGGAGGTGGAGGAGCAGAACTCTCAGCCCTCATCTCTGCTTCCCTTTGATCTCTCCTGTATCTCCTCCTACTGGTCGCAGTATCAGTTCCACTCAAGCTCGACACCGAATCCGCTCTTCGTCTCCTGTGTTCACTTTTTCTCGCTTCTCTTTCAGCTGCTGCTTCTTGTTCTGTAAGTCGCCGTAACGTGACGTGTCTGTTTGCATCGTCGTGGACTTTGACTTTCACGGATACGGGAGGACTGTTCATATCCGCCCTGGGATCGCCGCCACGAGAGCGCGAGCGTCGTCGGCGGACTTCTTCTTCGGCAGCGAGGGCGGCGGCTCCCGCTACTGCCGCCGCGGCTGCTTCTTCGCCTTCTCTTCGTCGACGAGAAGAGTGTCGTCTATGAACGTGTCCACCAGCTGAGTTGTAGGCTTCACTGCCGGATTCTTCTGGATGGAGGATACCATGGGGATCCGGCGGCGCGGGAGGCATGGAAACGGGTTCCGTAACGGTATGTCTCGAGGAACGCATTTGTGATGCTGCTGCTCCTGCGAGGCCACCTGCTGCCATTGCCACTGGGATGGGAGGAATGCCTCCTGGTCGGATACCATGTGGATCGTCGATTACGGAACTCATGTCTGAAGACACTCCTGAGGGTGCAGGCCGTCGTAGTTTTCGACGAGGGGTGGAGGGATATCCATCCCCGGTAAGTCGAGAAGGGGTTCCTCCTTCTCGAGCCAATCGTTCTCGTTCGACCTTCTCGGATTCTTCTCTGTCTAAGCGGTCGAGCTCCTTCTTGTCTCTTCTGTCTTTCATCTTCTTTGCGAACCAGCCGAGACCAAGGCCTGCTAATACACCCTTTTCAAGTCCATGTGAAGACCGAGGACGTCGAGAAGGAGACATTGTTGAATCGTACGAGGAATCTGCGGAATCGAAACTTTCCGTTCGACGAGGTCGAGGTGTTCTTGGTCTCTTCGATCGAGGTTCCGCGGCGCTGATAGCTGCTGCTGCCAAAGCTGGATTTCCTGGTCCTGGTAAAATAGGACGATCTCCTCTTCTCCCCTCCTCCATCCTGTGGACTTCAACACTCTCTTCGCTGACGCTATCATGTCGCCGATGTCGTCTTGAAGGCGTATCCGGATCCACGGAATCGTAATCCTCCTCATCCTTGCGTCTCTGCCTCTTATCCCACCAGCTCTTCGCCAATCCAGCAGCGCCAAGAACCGCCGCTCCCTTCAACAAAGTGTCAAACGTGCCACCACTCTTCTTCTTCTTCTTCCTACTCTCCTCATATTTCTCGTCTTCAATATAACTCCCACTCCCTCTCCGACTGGGAATGACTTCTTCTCTCCGACTTCTGCTCCTGCTTCTATTTCTCCTCCCCAATAAAGCTGCAGCACCCGCCCCAGCAGCCAAAGGCCCAAGCAACCCTCCAAATACAGATGTCTTCTTATCCTCAATAACGGTTCCCCCATGACTAATACTCCCGTCCCTCACAAGAACGCCACCCGTATCCCCAATGCTCCTGTACGCCAGGATAAAGAACAGCAGCAGCAGGAACGTCATCCACAGCGTATAAAGCACAAACGTAAACTTCGGACTGCCATACAGCGTCAACCCCAGTGCCACCTGCACAATGCCCAACAGCGCAACCGCCCTGCCAATCCACCAATGCAGCACCATCTTGATCGTCGGCTTACGATGCAGATGCTTCCTTCTCCTCCTATAGTTCCACCAGCCGCCCATCGCTTGCACTAATATCAACACATAAATCGACGTCCCGATCCCATGATGCGGGTTCGTGAGACTTCGTGCCGGTCCGACTGCGAACCAGCCGAGTGTGAAGACTACGGTTGAGAGGGCAACGGTCAGGATTTGCAGATATACGTGATGTCGCATGGCGTTTGGACTGCGTGAGTATTTCGCTATTAGGATTGCGGCGGGCACGACGAAGAGGAAGGTGATCACGGCGACGACGCCGTGGCCTTTGATTATTTGGTGGTATTGCGGTAAGGAAGCAAATCTGTTGCCCATTCCTATTCATTGTACCAGTACATCAGTTTCTGTCCTCTCCACTATAACTGTTTTGCAAATTGGAAGGGAAGGAGAAGAGAGGGAGTCAAACCATTATATCTCATCGTCTCGAAATTTAAGCCCACCAGATTCGGCAGCAGGAAATCATTGCGAGTCGCATCCCACGTTCCGTCTCCAACATACATGGTGTTCGAGGTGTATGTGCTGCTCCCGGGCGGCGAGAGGTTGTCTTGGGGTGCCATTGTTGCTGCGAAGGAGCTCTGCTCCGGCGCTCACCCACTTCTGCCAGCGGCAGCTCTGGTCAATTCTTTGTTCGGTCCCCTCGATCGCACAATGTATTGTGTTAAATTCGCTATGAATAGATTGCTATCGATAGCAGTAGGAATGCGCTCCGTGGAGAGGAATGGACGTTCGAGAGCTCGCTCAACCGTGTGCTGTCAAAGTCGGTTGTCGTTGTCGAGCCCAAGCGGTGAACCTTATCAGCCCAGTAAACAGTGCCCAAGGCTCTTATCGGTTACCCAGCAACGCCCGCTCCCCTCCAGCATATGATTCCGTAAGCGGTATGCAAATGCTGTCGTCGTGAAGAAAGGGGGAAAAGTGAAGCTTTGGAAGCTTCGGTATCAGAATTGGACTCAGGTATCGTGGAAAGGGTCTGGGTGGACGCAAGGATCCTCAAAGTGTCGTGCCCGAGTCGTTCGCAGGGCGATGAGCTGGTGAGCTGTTAGTGGGGATGCAGGTGATGATTGCAGCGAATCGCGGGTGGCACGGCAACGATCAGGTGCAGGATCGACAGGGATTTGTACTCGGTGCTTACGAGGCTTGATCGATATCGAGCGACAACGAGAAATACTGTACGACGGAATTTCGGTTTGATTGTTTGTACAGTGTTAGACTTGTTCGTGAGTGACTGAGGAGCGGAGTTGAGTTCAAAAGGTGAGGAAGACTGGAAGGGCCAGATTGATCCGCGTACCACGTGTTTGATAGTCTGACATGTACTTCGCACAACAATTCAGAGAAAAGAATGACGCTGAACAACGAATATGATTCAAAGTCCAGACCTCTATAAACTCCCGAATCCGCCATCTATGGGTATACGCAAGCCTTCTAAATCCATTCCACATGTACAAACAACGCCAATCCAAACCCTCTAGTTCCTCGCAACCACCTTCTTGATGGTGCCAAACAGACTCGAGCCTCTCTTTCTCCCAGGCGACATCAAAGGAATCTCAACTACCTGGATAACATCTTCATTCACATCCTTTCTCATAGGGAACTCCTCGTCTTCATGCACACTCCCTTGCAAGGTACTGCTGTCCGAGTATCCACTGATTCTCCGCGCATGTGAAAGTGGAAGACGGCTCGTCAGACCAGTCACACTGGCGTGTGTAATTTGAATATTGGGGCTTAATTCTGGCTCCAGGCTTTGGGTTTCTGGTGAGGTAGGAGACTGGAGCTCGAGCTGATTGGTTTTAAGCATCGATTGTGCAAGGCTTTGCGTCGGTGAGAACATCTGGATGTCCCCCAAGATGAGATGGGTGGCGTCTTCTCGATTGAAGTCCAGATCATCTTCAATCTCATCGTCCGAATCGATGTCGTGGTATTCCCCTTCTGTCAGAAAGGGCGAGCATGATTGACATTCAGTCTCGAAGGTCATTCGTGGGGAGAACGGCGGAGTCGAAGCTGGTGAGAAAGAGACTTCATTTATAGATGCAGTCCGCGAGCAGTGGCCTTCCTTCAATGTGTTCTCAAGCACTTCATCCATCCTGTCATACGTCAGTATGAGAACCAATTGATGCCAAAGAGTGCTCACAAGTCGCTTGATTGGTCGAAGCTTGTCGCAAGCAACACATCCAAACTCTGCAGTTGACTTCTGAATGAATTGATTTCCTCCTTGTAGCTGTGAACTTCGTCGCCCGATATGCTCGCCCGATGCAATTGTTTCGCGAGCTCGAATCCTGCCGTCGAGACTCTCTCGATATTCTCAGCGACGCTCACTTGATCTGCCATTTCTCTCGTTCAACGATTGACAGTTGACAAATTGATGATGCGCAAATTGGAACAGAAGAACAGCAAACGACAATCAAGAAACAAAAACGAAAGCTGACCTGCTGCCTCACTCGAGGCCCTTCCCCATTCAAGTACCTGACCACCTCATCACTCCGCCTCCTCCACGACGCAAATCCTCCATCAGCATCGCCTCCCAACTGTGCAAGGGGACGCGGTATTATCGGGTGCGTGTCGTTCTGCGCCTCGCGGTCATTGAGTACCGATGCCTGGGGTACAGGCTGCTCAGCCACGATCAGGTTCAACTGTTCGGTTGAGCGGTTCGGCAGTCCCGCCAGGCTGCACTTGCAGGTGGGAGTCAGGTTTTTTTCCATGTTTGTGCATGTTCTCGGAGGAGGGAATAAGAGGATTTTACGGGTGTTTGCGTTGTGGAGGAAGAGTTGTGCGGAAGGAGTGAGGTCGAAGGTATTTTGGGGTGGTGCGCCTGGGCGATCGCCGCAGGGGCCCATTTTGGGACCTTCGGCCCCTCTTTTTTCCTCCTCATCATCATATCACTTCACCACAAAGTTTGCCCTTCTCGAGCCAAATTATCAACCGAAATTTCACCCGAAGACTACTCGTGCTAGCTCAATCCATCCGATGAAAGCTCACGTTGAAAGAAGCAAGCTACATTGATCTCGTCTGCAATGCTGCGTTGAGTCTTCCATCGAAGCTTCCAGCCTGCAAATCCTGACCCCAGCAACTTGCGGGCACAGCAGTGCTTTCCGGATCTATGATTTTCGGTGCCCTTTTGGAAGGAACGAATCCCGAACGATCATGCTGGTGGGGGCGTGACGAAAGATATCGCGAATCACAGTCAGGATAAGCGTGTACTCTCAGCCTCGCGGACTTGATAGCACAACACCATGGGCGATTTCCACTCTACTATAATAATTCTTCGTTCAGATCACCGAGTTTCAATCGACCGCTATAGAGAACTCTCAATAGCGCTATTGCCGTGTCATACCTTTCGCTCTTGGGCAGTGGCCTGACACTCAGGTTGCTTGAGCCTCCCTGGGCTTAATAGTCGGACTTAACAGTCGCGGCTATTAGTTCTCACTCATCTGTGCAGCCTAATCAGTTTTGAGCGCCCCGTCATCTCTCTTCGATCGTTCCATAAGCTCTTGTCTCAATTATCCCCAGCTTAGACACCTATCTTCCTCATCATCGACTCCCTGTACTGTACAAGACAGCGATGCCTCGTCGCAACCCAAAGAGGCAGTGCCGCTTGAAACTTGGAGATCACTTGGAAGTATCGCTGTTTGGCGCAGACGAGGGAAAAGACACCACAGCCGGACCCGTGGGAACGGTCGATGACGACCCAGGATCACATAATCCTGAGCCTCCCCCAAAGCACCTTCGATATGTTTACGAAACACTTGAAGGACTGGACAAAATACGCACCCTAGAACTGCATAGTACGAAGGAGAGAATTGAATGTACTCTCCAACAAATCAGTATCTCCAAAGGCGGATATCAAGCGCTCTCCTATGTGTGGGGAAATCCAGAACCAGATTCCAACGCTATTGTCCTCGACGAAAACGGACACAAACTTGGATACATCCCTCTTACGAAGAATCTTCAAACTGCCCTGTGCGATCTCCGGCAGACGGGGGAGATAACGAGCAAGATTTTCTGGATTGACCAGATCTGCATCGACCAAGAAGGAGAGGAGAAGAACCACCAGGTAGCACTAATGGGAGACATATATCGAAATGCAGCCCGAGTGATAACTTATTTGGGGCCTGCTGCCTCGGATGAGGAGGAGGAAAAGCGCGGGATTGACTTGTTGCATCGCCTATACGAACACTTCACCGACGACTACGATCTGATTTATCAGGCCGGCAATCTGTACCAAGCTTATCTGAAAAAAGCAGAGTTTCCTGTGACGACCTTGCCAGAAGCATTCCAAGAGGGCCATTTCGACGAAGGGAAGTATGTGGCACAGGGATGGAAATTGTTATTCCAAGTGGCATATGGCGAATGGTCACGACGATTGTGGATTATTCAAGAACAGCTGCTTAACGAAGAAATGGTGATGCTTCGCGGTTCATCATTGTTGTCCTGGGACGCCGTTGCTATGATTCCCGTACTTTCCAATCTACAACTGATCCCCGCAAAATTAGTCATTCGTTTCACCAGTTTCTGGCGAGAAAATACCGGGAACTCAATTGAAAACTTACATCGAATTGAGGACTCCATCTACTCCCTATGGCACACGCGAAAACAACAGAAGGAGACGGAATGCCTCTGCGTTGGAACGCAGTTGTTGTTTAATATGGCACGGTATGAATCTCAGCATTGCTGTGACCAGCGCGATCGGGTCTTCAGTTTATTAGCTATCTCCTGTGATACTATGAAGCTGGGTATCACTCCAGACTACTCTGCTAGCATAAGGCGCGTCTTTCACGACGCTACTATTCGAATACTGCTGACCTATTCAACTTTGGAATCACTAGCCTGGGCTTGCCGCTGGGGTGGCAGCAAAACATGGTCTGAGGGTCAATCCGAGAACTCAGATCCCACTGCTGCCACATCAAGTCCCTCCTCGTGGGAGCTCAGGCCACCTTCTCCACCGTTTCCATCCTATATTATGTTCAGTGTATGCACTCCACATCCCCGAACTTCTGGCCTTACACGGCCTCCTCGATTTCTTCTCAACTCGACCGTCCTGGTTCTTAAAGGCCGCTTCGTCGATCGCATTTCAACAGCCACTCCCGTCATATTTCTTAGTGACTCAGTCCTTGACGGACGCGTAGATTTATCGTGGATCCAATGTGTATCTCACAGGTGGACCTGCTTCCTTAGAGTGCTCCAGCAACTCGGAACCACATTTCAGAATGCATCTCGTCTTGCCCGCGCTATAGCTTGCGACCCAACTTGGTCTCCGCCTATGCAATGTGGACTTTCCGTCGAGGAGAGCACGTCTTTTGCTTTTTTCTCCTATTTGCGATCGCATGTCAAGTACCTTAGATCAGAAGTTGCCAGTTTACGCCTTGAAGTCTCGGACCTGGTTCCAGAATTAAAGCAGTGGGATACTCAAATCCAAGAGCTCGCAGCCCAGCTCAGCAAGGCAATCGACCTTGGCTCGTTCCACCCCAACACTGCTATAACTCCCCAGGAGTACAAAGCATCCAATGAATTGAAGAGTCGAGGTAGCTTACATGGCCGTTCATTTTGCGCCACCGAGAACGGCCGTGTCTGTAATGCTATGAACCAAGCTGAAAAGGGAGACTTGGTGGCGGCTTTCGAAGGTGCAGACAGGCTCTTCATCCTTCGGCCTGCTGGAGAGAGGTATCGACTGGTTGGCGATGCATATGTTGACGGCTTGATGGAAGGAGAAGCGTATGAGGGTCTTGATTCGGATAAGGTGGATTATGATATCGAGTTGGTCTGATCTCGTTCTTGAACGTGTGGTCTGGGATTTCGTTGTTCCTTGTAGGGTGTTAACTTATGGACAAAAACTGGTATGGCAGTACATCTGAGATCGAACATGATGCAAGAAATGACATATTCTTTAGAGACTTTTTCGAAAATCATCTATTGTACGAGATATGATGGGCAGTTAGTGGATGGCGATCCAACCCGCTCCGGAATTTACCTTTTATGTCGAACGATGAATGGGGGGCAAGATAGAGCTAGCTTGTCGGTGTTGGGTGTTGCTCTAGGAACTCCCTTGCTCCTAGACGCTTTTTCCTTGACTCGTCCCCATGATGTCAGGAACGCCTTTCAAATCGTAGGACCTTGCAGGAAGTAGGCTCTCTCTCCTTATACACCAACTGCTTACTGAACACTAAATTTCTACTTACAACAATAGTATTCACATGGTTAGATAATCAATAACATTTTTTTATCAGAGTCATGGGCGAAAAAAAGAAACAGTTCCCCTTGTTGATGACTTGAACAATACTCACTGGACCAAGTTGTTGTAAGCTCTCACAACTAATCCATTGCATAGCAGAGCAAGCCGTCTGTGACACGCATAGAGAGGCAGAGGAACCCTTCAGGAACTACTTGTGGACCGAGCACCAACGCGTGGTAGGTAATAATCGTGCACAGTTTCACACATTCTGATATTAGTAGCTCTGCCATTAAACGTGAGAGGGGACTTCGATGACTACGAGTGCAAGATAACAGTTTCTTTACAACACGGAAAACCAAATCCCGTGTCGAGTCAGAGTTGGCCTTGAAAGGCTTCACGTAACCGGCATAAATCCTGCGTTGTAAGTGACGAGACCATCTAACGTATATCATGCTCATGCCGCAGGCGGAGCTCTTGGAGGCCAAGGCTTCACTGGAGGTGCTAGCACCGATATCACCTGGGCTAGGGAGTTTATCAAGGGTACATTTCAGTAGACCGAAGCCACGAGGGTCCACTGCTACCTACATTGTGAATGATTGTTTCTAAAGCCGTATAGTACGAAGAACAATTACTAAGAAATATTCTCAGTGGACATCATTCAAAGGCCATGGTCGCGATGTGAAGGTTGAGAAGTCGAATGAATCCCACAATTTAATCATCTATACACAAGAAGACAACTCATTTCTGACTGAAAAGTTATGTGTTTCTGATGTTTTCGCAGACAGCTCATGCTGAGGGGTGCTTCCTGTTATAGCTATAGAGTGGGCAGGATCGATTGGTCCATATCGGACTTGACGCATGATTCAGGTGAGAGATGGAGGTTCCCGTGGAGATTCGTGGTGTTGATGTCTACAGCAAGAGGATCTGGGGAGATTCTGCTATTCCTGATCGAAGTTGGGTCCTCAGATAAGAAGCGAATTTAGCATGCATTAAATATTTCGAAGCCTTGAACACGGCATGGTAAGCCAAGAAGCTCTGGAAAGAACCAAATCTGCCTGCATCCACAGAGCCGCAAGAACAAACTTGGTACTAGATAGCACTTCCTTAGACATGATGGCTTTAGGAACTATTGGTACCGATGGACCCTCTGTGTAGAGCCTTCTCTCCCAGAAATTGTGGATGAAGTGAGGATCCATCTAGAAGAGGAGTAGTTCAAGTCTCCGGATATTAACCTGGACCATCCTCCTTTCAAAACAACTACGGATAAGTAAGGTCCAATTAAAATCACTGCCACAGTAGTAGTGAAACGTGGTTGGAAGTTCAAACAAGCGGGCAGAGCCGTTCCGCAAAGCCTATTTGGGCTCCCAAGGATCCCGAACAGGATCCTCCCACAAAAATAGATCTATGCTCGTGAGCTTGCCATGACTTCCAATCCGACTAAACCACGCTGAAGTAATCCAACATAACGTAAGCTAATGCCTGCAGGCCTGTCAAACAAGGCTAGGCGTCATTCTGATCATTAACCCGAGATGCACTCGCAGATATTCTGCGACCTAATACCGGAAAACCGGAAGATCCGATTGTAGGAGGATTGAAAAGTCGTCATCTTCATCCATCTCTCACACTTTTTGTCAATCCAAAACTGTGCCCTCGAGGCTGATATTCAACATCTATCAACCTTAGACCCGGCACCCAAAACGAGCCACCTCCGGATACTAAAATGGATCTTTAATGCATGCTCGGGGTTACTTAGCGTGTGCTCAGGCCGTGCTTAGGAATGCTCACCTACGGCTTAGGTAAAAGCAGCAGCAGCAGCTCAGGTCTAAAAACGGAAATGGAAATGGTCAGGTCGACATTCCGATGTGAGATGGCCTATTCTCCTAGCACTATTCACCCGTAAGTAGCCCCTATTATTTCTGCTGGGACTGCCTATCCTCCTAAGCGTATTGCAAGACTGCTATTTATTAATCTAATTGCATTTGAGCTTTACTCAAGCTCTTATCGAGGCTAAAAGAGATTATTAGCAATATTATCTTAAAGTGGTACGCTCTTACTCCTTTTAGAAAAGGCACAATGAAGGGGATTGCTAATCAGACAGTGAAATGCCTAAAAACAGTCGCTTAAACGCCCGTACCCTCACTCACAACACTAAGTTATATGCGCGCTATTTAAAAAGAGGGGAGAGTTTTGGGTGGCTAGCGTAGCGGACTAGAAAGCGTAGGTGGCCATGGACTCCTCCCGGAGCTTGCGTAGGGGCAAGATGGCCTCTGGAGTGAACGCTCGCTCCACCTGGCAAGTTGAGGAGGGAATCTCACATTCCTTGGACCTGAGTGGTGGGGGTGCTTAAGCGACTGTTTTTTTCATTTTTTTTCAAGGCATTTCACTGTCTGATTAGCAATCCCCAAAATGAAGTACTAGTTTCTTTTCTTTTCTCCTGATTTCAGCCTTCTTGACCTTGGCCAATGCGCATGACATTTAAGAATTTAATAAGAGGGCGTACAAACTACCCAATTCACAAGCACGGTGATATAGCCTTCGGTGGGACAGTGATAATTTGGGGAAGGTTGTTTGCGTTTACATCTCCTTTCATTCTTGCACTTCTGTGGAGCAAGTCAATAGTGTAAGCCCTTAGATATAACATACTAGCATAAAGTTATAGTTTCCTCTTGCAACTCACCACGACCCATCATTACTTTCGCTTCACCATGCATTACTCCATGAATGTAAGCCTCTCCAACAAGCTTAAACTTTCCTTCCGTCTCCGTTCTTCGAAGAATAAATGGCACACGCGCTCCAAATATAACACAACACAAATCTTCTGGCTCCATAACTGCCGGCCCCAACACATAATAGCCATTCTCGGTGAATGCGAAGCTTCGCGCTCTACAAACAATTCTCATATCGAGCCAGAACTTCTCACGATCTCCACTTCTAACTCTTCCTTGCGAATCTGCGGAGAGCTCAACTGGTGTTGAACCTAGTCGATAATTTACGTAGGCCGCGAAATTTTCCTGGTGTTGATGCAGATTCGCCTCGGCGGAATCGTAGCCACTACAACCAGCTATGAGTGTGAAACAGAAAGCAGTCAAATAATTGGACTGATACGCAGACGCTGACTTATTCTCTTGTATTTGTCTCCAGATTTCTCCAAAAACGCCTTCACTCGCATCTACTGACTCTTCATCGGTCTTCTTTCCAGGCTCAGCCATGTCAGAAGTGGTGAATTTGAATGAGCTGGTAATAGCACCGAGAATGACCCCCTTTATTTGGAGGCAATTTCCCCCAAGGATGTCCAATGCACAAATATCAATTCCAGTAGAAGCACCGTAAGGGAAGCCGGTGTAGATGCCAAAATTGGTCATGGTTTCCTGGACCGTCCAGTAGGGAACCCAAGACGGGAAATCGTCGTTAATTGTATTTTCATTGTGTTCCACCGCAGATAGTAATCTATGCCCCTTCTTCTCTTTCAAAAGTTGCAATGCTAACTCGAGATAGACCTCATGGAAATCCTTGGAATAATCGGCTTTCACCAGGGTTTCGCTCTCGCCATCCAGCTGCGCAAAAGGATGGCCAAGCATTGCAAACACATGATCTCTATGATCAGCACAACCCAGCCAACTTCCCTGGTTCATGAGGTCGAGGAAAGACCGTTCATGGGTCCAATTATTCTTCTCCCATTCCGGGGACCAATCCACCCATTCGATATGGATGCTGTTGAACTCAACGCCGGCTCGGAGCAACAAGTGGCCAGCACACCTATCCACCCACATGGCCATTGTCATGAGTTTGCGGTAACTGAACTCGTAGTCCCCATACAGAACCCACGGATCTTTCGCCAGTCCCACCTCCTGGATAACCCACGTTCTTGTCCACCACACGCACCTCGCCAAAGTTGCTACTGCTGTCCATCTCACATCATTTAAAATCGGATCATCGGTTAACAATATTGGCATCTCCTCAACAGACTTGTACTTCGAGACCAGCTGATGATTTTCTGCGACCAACTCGGCAACATCTCGAGCACCGCCATCCTCGTCTGGTCCAAGACAAACAAGGACCCGTTTCGCCTGGCTATAAATCGCACCCATAAACCCAACATGATGACCACGTTCCCTGATATTGCGCTGATTGATACAAATCGCGTCTGCCCACACCACGTGGGGTTTGTCTGCATACCGGACTCTCGCGAGTGCAGCCCTCAAATTCTTGGTGATAGGGACTGTGCTGTTATTGACTTCAATCTGCTCGACATCTCCAGAGTGGCCCCATACGTATGATAAAGCGTCGTACGGAGGTGCCGAGATGAGAGGAAAGGTTGAGAGGTGAGCTGTGATGGCGTCGCGGCCGGTGCCGGGAGCGAGATACAGGAGACGAATGTAGCGTCCGAGGGGAAGCTCGGCGTAGATTGCTTCGGTAGCGTCTCCCATGTTGGAATAGCCGATGGAAAGCCTTTGGGTCAGAAAGGCTTCTGTTGACTTGTCAACTAGCGGGACTTTCCTATCAGTGGAGTTCGGTACGGAACCTTGACTGTTGCGAGGCTAGGAACATTACACGTCAAGTTTTGTTTATTAGATAAATGAATCTCAATTACGTAAAGCTGGCAGACTCCAGCGAATGATTTCCGAGTTCACACATCTAAAGTCCGAAGCCCTGCAGTGTAACACTCGGCCGTCCTCTTCCATTCTACAGAGGTAAGCGAGCTCCGGGATCCATCAATTGTTGGATAAATATTTACAATCAAATTATAAGAGGTTTTAAATATGTTAAAATGAACGCAAAACGTAACCGGATGACTGAGAGGAAAAGAGGGGGTTGGCTTCTTAATAGAGTGAAAGTCTCCAAGTCAAAAGACTCCTGATTGGAGACGCAACCTGGAGAGATTTCTGTTTCTCCCATAATATTTCAAGTAATTAAGTTGACTTTTGTCTACGGCCGAGGATGATTGTAGAGACCTCCAGGCAGGTTCTTCTAACAACATTTATTTGCCAATTTGCTTAATCTTCGCTATTAGAATGCTGCTAAGGGTGTGAAACGTACCCGTTCCGATGTTAGTTGGTTGAATATAGGCCCTTATTTACGCAAAAGTAGGCGGACAATGGGTGCAAAAGGTTAATATCGTAGTTGTTTCCAGTTCTAAGAAGTGAGGAAGATGAGGGGTCTTTTATGCACCTAAATCAGAGGCTGGTCCTTATCTAGAAATGAGATGATTCACGTGATATTCAACTGACATCCCTTCTCTGTAGCTGATGAACAGAGCAATTCACGGCGTCTTTTGTACGGAAAGGGGGTGCATCTGCCATAGAACCACGTCGAGTACTTCAAATTTTTACGCAAATTCCTTGAGTTTGGTTGGCAAAAAATGCTTCAATCAAAATGGCAGAGTACATAAGGTTACTTACTATATTCTTGGATGATCTTCTATTTCGTTAAAATATTTCCGAACAGGCCCAAAAATCTGGACAAGGCACTTAGGCCATTTGGTCGAGGTCTACATGTGACTTGCTCCAGTTTACTGACGGTAACCGTACCAGGAATAGTCCTTAACCTGTGGGCTGAGTGCCTGAGGTAAGCTATGCCACGGAGGTCAAAACAAACTGTGAGGCTGAATTACTAGTCACGTGCTCTCTGACAAGAGGGATCCAGAATCTGCTCCAGCTCAGAGAGCAGAAACGGAGTCCCGGGCAAAATTAGGTAAGGAAACTATAGCCGAGGCATACAGGAATCCAAAATGGGTTTCATATTATAGTGTGCAAGCTGATTTAGGGCGTGCTCAGGCTCTGCTCAGGCATACTCGCCCGGTGGCTCAGGTTAAAGCAGCAGCTGCTCACGTCTAGAGACTAAAACGGAACCAGCGAAGATGAGATTAGAGTTAAGCTTTTATGGTAGTCAATCTTCTTGACATTTTGAACACCAATTTGGACTTGGGTGCTCTAATATACTTTATGTTGGAACGTAAATCCAAGTCGCACTGCAAAATCCACCGAACGTATTCGGACCCATTGCGTACCTGAATATGGGCGACTGGCCTGGGTTAAGAGAGACGCGGTCAGGGCCAGCACAAAGAAGCATGTTCTATAAGTGCTTCTCGTTTTGAAGTCACAAGACATGGAAAGTGCCTTGATGGGTATTGTCAGCATATGATGTAATACCCAAGCAGATCTTGAATGAACCATCAACTTGCAGCAAACTTAGCAAAGCAACCTGCTCCAAGATCCTCGTCGCAACAGTTGTCAGTTCTTCAATTGTCTGCTCATACAAGTGGGAAAGAAGTCATTCTTCTAACCGAATTGGCGAGACTCGAAGTAATCAGATTGACTTGGAACCCCACCACTGCCCAGTCAACAATTTCTTCAACGTCTCACGCTAATCAGCAGCTCGCGAAGTTGGCTACCACAGTTTTCTGTCTGCATATACGCCTACATCGCCAATTCGCCAACTGTTACATAACTTTGAAAGCCGTTCCTAGCATCGTCAGCTTGGGGAACATCTCTGTCATAAGAGCAAGTATCATGAAAGGGGCGAAGATACAATACGAACATTAATACGAACGGACAAAGAAAGATATCTTGATAAATTGCCTCAGACACGACCCGGCCTTAATTCACCCACCCCTTTCCATACACACGCCCCTTCACGTGCTCAATTAAAAGAGAGCAACAATGCTCTGAAAGCGACTTGCTCAGTTGTCCTTTAGACCTATATAAATTATTGCGAAAGGTCGCGAACAAAGGTCGGAAAGAGGCGGGCTCTATTCAGGGGGGTCAACAAAGTGGGGCGATCTGGGTCACCGTAGTTGGCGAGCTGCACTCACCTTATCTCTTCTTCGAAGGAAGCTTCTTTCTTCGTCCTGCAATGATGGCATGTACGACCTAAAGTGAATGATCCGACTGGTGTGACACTAAACATCGTAAGGTGCGACTCCTAACGTCGAAACTCGCACCAAGGCCATCCACAGTTGTTCTTTGAGGGCCCAAGGCAGCCCCGCACTTGCCTGGGCAGTTTACCCCGCCTCAGCCTCAATAACCACCACGGCGGGCCAGTTCTTCAAGAACTCATGGCGTTCAGCATGCTAAGTCTTCTATTTGGAAGCTTTCTGATCTCAATTGCCGCTATCTTCGGTCCATGCCTCTTTGCAACTGTACGATGGTACCGTAAATTGCACAATTCGCAGCTGTGCCTGCCACCGAGCCCTCCTGGCCAGCTTTTCTTTGGTCACACGAGGGTGATCCCTTCTCAGAACCCGGAGATATATTACCAAAAGCTGTCAAAAGAATACAGTGAGTATCTCATGGACTGTTACGACAAGTTCTGGCAGGAATCTTACATGATGTAGAGTCCGATGTCCTTTACTTCCAGCAGTACAGAACTCCAGTCATTGTGCTGAATTCCGGGAGAGCTGCAGATGAACTTCTTTCCAAACGCGGAGCAAATTACAGTAGTCGACCAAGATTTGTGCTTTTCGAAGTGTCAGTAGAAGTTCCCCGCCGTCTACGTGATTCTGACGATGACCTAGGATGCGCTGGGGGTTAACGCTCACTTTCATGCCTTGGGGTCCTCTCTTCAAAGCCCACAGAGCCTTGCTTCAAAAGAATTTCACCAAATCCAATGTCCTGCAATACCAAGAACGGCAAGAGCAGGAAGCGCGTCGAGCCATCTTGAGCATCACCAAAAATCCTTCCGGCTGGGAGTCTCACATCAGAAGGCCCGTGTAAAACCCATCCATTTTGTAAACTAGCTGACACAAACACGCAGCTTTGCCTCAAATATTGTTCTGCAGATCGCCTTTGGGATGGAATTGACTCGAGATGAAGATTCGAGCGTTCAAGTTGCGACCGGTCTTGCAAACAGAGTTCTCGCAGAAGGAGGTTCCCCAGGATCGACAGTTATTGACAACTTCCCTTTTCTTAGCAAGCTGCCGAACTGGATTGTACGATCTGAAGCTTTGCGCCATGCTAGAAAGTGGGGTTGGATTATTCGACACCTCCACGATACCCCGTTCTCGGCATCGAAAAGACACTTTGTATTTCTTCACAATACATTGCGCAAGAGCTGGGCTAATTTCTTGTCTAGGAAAATGGAACCTTGCAGCACAATTCGTTTGCGTATCCTCTTTTGAAACGACATGCCGAGAACCAGAGTCGTGGAATTTCTAGCGACTTGACCATGGCAGACATCAATGGCGCGGCTGCAACGATCTTCATCGCTGGTTTCGACACGACAAATACCACAATCCTGGTTGGGATTCTTGCATTGCTCTTATACCCCACAGTGTTCGGTAAAGCCCGAGAGGCACTCGATCGAGCCATCGGCAAGGACTGCCTTCCGGCCTTCTCAGATCGTGAAAATCCCGGCTTGAGATACATCAATTACATCGTGGAGGAGACCAGCCGCTGGAGACCTCTTTCACCACTCGGCGTGCCACATAAATCTCTGGAAGATGATGTCTATAATGGCATGTTCATTCCCAAAGGCTCGACTGTTTACTTCAATGTCTGGGCAATGAGTCGTGATGAGAGTACCTATGAGGATCCCGAGCTCTTCAATCCTGACCGGTATGTACCTATAGAGGAAGGAGGCGTAGGAGAACCTATTCTGCAAGGTCCCTTTGGGTTTGGACGCAGGATTTGTGTTGGCAAACATCTCGCACAAGCAAGTGTCTGGATTGCGTTGGCAACTTTGATCGCGACCATGGATATCTCCAATTCTTTCGGACCTGATGGAAATGAGATCAAGCCCGATGTGAAGTTCAGTTCTGGTCTCTCCAGGTGAGTGTTTCTAGATTTGATGGGCTTTGCTGATTCGTTTGATAGTCATCCTTCTCATTTTGATTGTCTCTTCAAACCTCGGTCGAGCGAGGCGGAAGTTTTGCTTAGAAACTCCATCGATTGACAGATTGGATCAGCTGCAGTTTGTTATGATAGACTTGGAGATTACTTAAAAATTGATTTTTCTCCCACTGTATCTCTCTGCTAATATGAATAGCGCTGCAGGAGTAATCTCGGAATCTATGATTTCGCGATCATGTGACCAGAGACGAGAGCGAGACATATACAACCTGCCCCAAATGAAGATTATTGTGATGAACGGTCCTGTGACAACCCAGAATCTTCAGAGAAAATTCTCTCGTAGGTCTACCAAGTAAGACTGGCTTTGTGGCACGGCTTACGATCTCACAGTACCGATACGAAGATCCTTGTCGCCGCACCACGCAGCTCTTGGCGTCCTTGCAGAAAGAGGTAATGATCACTTATTACCCAGGCAATGAACTAATTGCGAGGCGACACTGAACCGCCCAAAGCCATTCAAGAAGTTGCTTCATTTATCAATGGCTTTCGTTGGTGGATGTTTTGTGGTTGCACAGCTGCCCACTTGCTGACCCGACGCTTGCCAAGTGCCACCAAGATATGTTCCTCCGTCATTTGCATCACCAACTCCCAGATTCTTACTCATTATTGTTGTACTTCCTTCCGAATTAAAAAGCGGCTCTCTTGAGAGAAGTTTCTCCGTATTCGATACGATGTTCGTGCCTGGCAAGTGGGTATAGGCATCCATTTTCAAATCAAGGTATAAGTACTTAAAAAACGGCAACTTTAACGGAGGGCTTGCAAGAACTTTGCCCGATGTCCTTCAAAATGGCTTTCCTTGAGACTTTTCCACGTCTTTTCATCTTTTTCTTGATCTTCGCCCTTTCAACCCCATCTCACAGCACCCTCTGCCCACCAGACGGCCCCCTCGTCCCCCGCCCCACAACCCTCTACAGCTCGCCCCTCTTCGCCAAGACCTCCTCATCACTGACCTCAACCCTCAACTCTGCCATCTCCGGAAATCTCACAATCCCCTGGTCCCTCCCCAACGTCTCCTTCTCCATCGCTGTCGTCTCGCTCTCTGATCTTTCCCCACATTCGCCACTCTGGGAATATCATCATCTAGCCACAAACAACGTAAATGGCACTAAACATGTTGATGGAGATAGTCAGTATCTTATCGGTTCCGTATCAAAGGTGTTTACGGATTTGCTACTGTTGAAAAGTGGGTTGAATATGGATGATCCGGTGACGAAGTATTTACCTGAGTTGGGGGGTGAGAGTGTGATTCAGTGGGAGGATGTTACGTTGGGAGCGCTGGGGGATCATCTGAGCGGGATGCCGGGGACTTGTAAGTTCTCCAGTTCCCATTCTACTTTCCAGAAAAAACTCCTCCCGAAAAGATCCATGCTAATACAAGTGCGCCCACAGACGGATTCCCTGAGATCTCCTTCCTCTTTCCCATCTTCGAAACCCTCGGCTTTCCTCATCTCCCAATTGCCGACTTCCCAAACTGCGGCGTCATTGGCCTTAACGCTGGCTGCACAAAACAACGTGTGTCCCTCCCAGTTTTGCCAACCCCCTTTCCACTCTCTTCTAACGCCACCCAGAGCTCCTCGCAAACCTCAAAACTTCTCGTCCAATCGCAGCCCCTAATCTCCGACCCTCTTATTCATCTTTAGCATTCACGCTTATCTCCTACGCCCTCGAATCCGCAACCGGAAAGAATTATTCTCAACTTCTACACGACGAGATTTTAAGCCCGTTGAATATGACAAATACAGGCATTTCGCCCGGCAACGGAGAGAAAGCCGTGATCCCGTCAACGGATAGTTCTTGGGGAAGTGATTATGGGGATAATGCACCCGGTGGTGGTCTCTACTCTAGCACGAACGATCTCAGCAGCTTGCTCGCATCTATCTTATCTCTCTCTGGATCTCCGATACTGTCCCGAGCACAGGCTCTCGCGTGTCTGAAGCCGCAAACAACGACGTCGAAACTGAATACCTTGGTTGGCCGCCCGTGGGAGATTTTCAGGACGCAGAAGCTCACGCCGAAATATCCACATACCATCGATCTCGTCACTAAAGGGGGGACGGCAATTGGGTATCAGAGTATTGTTGCTGTGATCGAACAGTACGGACTCGGAATTGTTGTCTTGACAGCAGGCGCACAGGGAGCGGAGGCACAAGAGCCGCTTTTCGAGCACGTCGTGGGAGAGGTGGTGGAAGCTGTGGAGGAGGTTGCTAGAGCTGAAGCTGTTGCATATATTGGGAAGTACCAAAACTCAGACGCAGCCCGCGGAGGGATGGAAATCGGTATCGATGACGGACCAGGCCTTGTGTTGAAGAAGCTGAGCAGGAACGGCACCGATATGCTGGAAAGTATTAGGACGCTGTTTAATGGGATCGGTATCGGTGGTGTGAAGGTTGGCAATATGTCTAGCTCTCAATTGAGGATTTATCCTACGGATGCATGGCGGGAGGTTGGGGGGATCAGGGAAGAGGATTGGAGGCTGCAGTTTGATGTCGAGGCTCCGGGGTGGAAGAGCGGGTTGAAGGGGTGGAGTGAGAGGGAACAAATGTGTACGGCGTGGATCGCGGGTGGTGCGCTTTATTATGGGGGTGAGCCGGTGGATAGGTTTGTCTTTTCAAGGGAGGCAAATGGTGGGAATGTGGTGGGGGCGAAGGTGCCGAGTTTGAGGTTGAATTTGACGATAAGTGGTTGAGAATTGATTATCGTTAAGAGATTGAATGATTCGACGAAAAGAGGAACACATTTAGAGTAGATCTCGTTATGGTGTCTTTGTCTAGGACTGAATGCTTCCAAATACCTGCTTCCTAAGCGAGCCCCTTCGCTCACCAAACTTGCCAAAATGATGGATGGCCTTTCGAACTCCAAACAGTGGTTAGCAAAGAGCGGCTCCAAGGATTAAGTGGTAAAAAATGTTCCGTCACTGTGGGGTAACTTGGGCCGTCGCAGGAATCGAACCTGCGTCCCCGGAAATTTTCCACACCGCAGTGCTGTCAAAATCCGATGTGATGATAGCTAATGCAGTTTGTTAATGTGCTTCCAAATCAAGTGTTTTGAAATAACTTACCCACTACACTAGACAGCCATTGGCCAGAAATCAGCCCTTGTAGTACATAAAATCCACCTCATCAGCGTCAAAGTGAAGCTTCACTGCACTCTCCACCTCCTGTTTTCTCCTCTTGATAGGGGTTCGCTCACGTGTTCCCCCACCCCCGGCGCTAAATGACGAAGTTCCAGGCTGCTCCCCTATTCCTTGCTTTTTCCGAGCACAACGCCCCAATCGCTACAATCGCCATCCCCACTCCAACCCTCCCCAACCCACCCCACACCCCTGAGATACTTCTTCCGTCCACTCACCGCCAGTGACGGCGATGCCTCCTCCTGCACGTCGTGTCGATTGTGGAACGCTCGGTGTGCAATTCGAACGAGATGGAAGGTGCGGATCGTCGGTTCTTTCCTCGCACCATTCTGGGCAAAATCCTGCTGAGCCTCGGACAATTCCAACACCGGATGGCTCTTCCGCAGCGCAGGAACATGGAAAAGGGAACGGACGCCATAGATGCTCCTCCCTCCGCGACATCCCACTTATATCTTTTATCCCGCCCTCCCCCTATATACCGCGTACAGCCCTCGGAATTCCTCCCCCCTTCCCTCCTCTCCACGAAGAAAAAAAAGGAAACAATAACAGCAACAAACGGCTCACCGCAAGACGGTGTTACGTTACGAGACGTTGTGCGAAAATCATGCCTGACCACCACTCCTCATCATCCGACCCTCGACAATAGTCAAGAACGGCCACGTTGGCAATGGGTTTGGATAACGACGGTGGCAGTCATGTAGCTGCCAATGCCGTGTTGGACGGCGATGTGCCTGTGTCTGGCCCAAGCAGACACATCGCTGTCGCCAGTCCTCCAAATGCATACCGGCACTCGATGGACGAGTACTATCAGCGCGAGGCAATGGGATCATCAATCATCCCCTCCGGCGCACCTCCCGATTACGACGCCCTCCTCGACTCCCCAAGTCTGCGCCGAAGATTCAATATCCAGCCCCGCGAAGACGAAGGCCGCGAGGTTCTTCCACCATACTCCAGCGCCATCAGCCTGCGGGCTGTCTTTCAACGGAAGATGGAGCTCGAGGGAGCCGTCCACCGCGCGCAGAACAGGAATTGGGTCAGAGTCTATGTCACATTACAGGGCACAGCATTAACATTCCACAAATGCAAGATTCCTGGGATCCTGGGGACGAAGGGGAGGACGACTCCGGATTTCCCGACGGGCACGACGAAGGGCGCGTTTCTGCAGAGCTATAACCTGCAGCATGCGGATGTCGGAATCGCGGCAGATTATGTCAAGTATGGAGACCCCTCTTATCAGCACATGTGGGGATACTAATTAGTTGATAGGAAGCGCTTTGTTATCCGTGTTCGTGCGGAGGCAGACCAATTCCTGCTCTCTTGCCACAAAATCGAGACGTTCGTCCTCTGGCTGCAATCCCTCTTCGCAGCCATCGACCTGGCACCTCCCCTCGACGACCGAGAAATCCCGCGGGATCTGAGCGTGCCGCGACGGATCAGGCGGCGGATACGTGTTGAAGCCGCAGCTGAAGGGGAAGGCGGTGACCACAATGAGGACATCGTCAGACAACAAGAAGAGATCCTACAGTCCCAATTCCCTACCCTAACGGATGGAACGGAAGAAGGAGAAGGAGATGCGTCTGACTCGCAATCCCTCGCACCATCCGACACTATCCCGGAAGATCCGGAATCCCCTACCCAGTCATCATTAGACGTGGCCTCTCCCCCCTCCGACGCCCCCGACCCCTCTCACCCTGCAACAGCAATCGATGCCGGCCCCTCCTCTGCCTCCCAAGGTCTCATTGCTCGTGCTCGTCAAGCTATCCAATCCACAGCCCACCTCTCGCAGTACGCGCCTCACTCCTCTACACCCAATCCCTCTATCTCTGCAGACGGGAAATGGAAGCCCACGCACCACTGGAGCCATTTCTACGATATGATGTACGCGAAGCGGTGCATGGCTATCTTGACGCATCGGAGTCCTAGGAAGAGCAATCTGGTGATTATGAAAGGGAAGCAATGGATTGTGGATTGGGCGACGGGAGCGCTGACGAGGTGCGAGCCGCCGGATTATGGCGAGTTAAGTGCTATCGTGGCGAAGGAAAATGCTCCTCGTGTTAGAGCCGCTGGCCAGTTGGCGAGCGCTTAGATGGAAGTAAAAAGATTTCGGCGGAGTTTGGTGCATTGGGTTGGTAAGAGACAGGACTGTATGTATGTACACCTACCTAGACAGCATGAAAATCTTTCATCCTAGAATCTGATGTCATCGGTGGCTGTGTGGCTAGTTTTGCCTTACTTGCTGAACGGCTGATGGAGACAAGTGTTCCCTATGCTTCAAATTTCGCTTTTTTCCTTTTCCTTTTGGTGGTTCGTTGGGGGTAGCTCCCGCTAACTCAGCGGACGAAACTGTGCGCCTACAAACTTTCAGTTGTTGTAATGTTGTCTTTGAGTTCGCACGATTAGAATGCTAGAGGATTCATACCTTGCATGACGGTTACTCATTTGTCGGTGACTACAGTAGCGTGTTGACTCATCACTATCCAACCTTGAGTAGAGTTCTTGCGTTCGACTCAAGGGATGGCAGGGGGGAGTTCCAATCTTTCATGCCGAGAACATTTGTTTTTTTCTTGAAATCGGGGTTGTCTTCGAATGGTGGTTTAAGTCTGCAAGCGTTTCAGACTCTGCCTTTGCAACAAGATTGAGATCTGCCTTCTCCATTCAGTCCCAGCACGCCTCCTCCGACATTCTACACTCTCCGTATAAACCACCAAAAACTTGTCCTTTCCCTCATTTCGACTTTGGGATTAGAAGAGTCATTCTCTGTTTCAAGACATGATCACCCCTACGAGCTCGTGTCGTCCTGCCAAGCCGGAACCCACGCATGGCCACTAAACTTTGACATCCACTTATGTTGCAGCAGCAAAAGCGTTCTAAATATAATCCTGCACATACCGGTTATTCCTTCTCTTGAAGAATCGTGGGTTTGAAGATCAGATAGGGCTGCAGGTGAGCCAGAGTCACTGTCAGATGGTGGCGTCAAGTACCGAGGTATCTCAATTCAGCTGCCGAGCCGCGCTAAGTTTTGCAAAACGAGCCCACTGGCTGTTTAACTCATAGTGGCTTTTGTCTGAGAGAAACAAGCACCATCGAGTGCGCGAGAAGGCTGGTGGTTGCCTAAAACGCCCCTTCAGGCAGCTCTTCGCGCACTCCGCGCCCGAAGCCGTGCGACACTTCGAAACCCTAACGGCGCACCAATGATTCATTCAAATGATCGAAATTTGATTGAACGGTGAGTGGCCTGTCATTTCGCACTTCTGAATGTTTCAATTGCAGTCGGTATCTTGCTTTTCGCTCTGCAAGAGGTGCTGTTGAGATAGCGGGGCAGCCGATGCCAAGCAGACGGATGTGTTCAAACTACTTCTGCTGTCGTCAACGGCTGTGGCATCATCTCCTATTTGAGCTTATCTCCAACAACATGCATTTCAGCTAGTTTCTGGGAAATGTCCTCTTGCTTCGAGAAGCATTATTTAAATTTCCTCCCCGACCCGATGAAGTGGTTTTGGACCCCACCTTCGCAAGTCACATGATACAAATCACAAATCATAACTGCCACTCCAACATCATGCAGGTATTCCCAACAGCTGCAGAGACCACCGGGGAGAGCGTGCGGAAAGGGAATCGAGTTCCTATATCTTGCACGGAGTGTCGAAAGAGAAAACAAAGGGTATTCCTCAATTTCAATCACAGATGTTGTCGCATTCTTACTGGATGATGTGCAGTGCAACAAGGAAACGCCTTGTAATAACTGTTCGAAGAGGTGATTAGCATTTTCTATTTGCCTTTCCAAATCCTACTAAGCAAGGTTCTCATCAGATATCCGCCTCCGATTTGCAGATACGAAGATGTCAAATCCGCAGGATCGCACCAAGACGAAACGCGGGCTGTTGCCAGTGTCACTGGTGGATCTCACAAACTTGTTCGTAGCCAAGTACGTCAAGCAATTCGGGAACATGTAGCATCACCTAGTGGGCCTGAAAATCGCCATACGGACACACGGATGAACCCTCCTCCCCTCCATACCAGGCCTCTGATACAAAGTGGAAAGATTTTCTCCGGGGAAGCGAGTTGTGCAGAAACAGGCAGCCAACTACAAGGACGTGGAAGGGCTCGGAAATCTACAACAGAAGAGCGAGAAGTCTCTAATTACGTACGATTCTGCTTGAATCCCTACCTCCTCCCTCGGAGGGGACTTGCCTCTGCATACGGCTGCCCAGAAGCGTTTGACGCTCCCCTTCCAATTATCATTCAACCACTGCCCCCAATTCCGATTCCAAATAAAGGGCGTAATGCTGAGCTATTCCATTTCTGTAAGAGACTCAATCTTCACGGGCCGGTTGAAACTGACGTTCCCACAGTTCATAATGTACTTGCACCATATATCGGCGCTATCGATGGACTTGACCAGCCAAAGCTTATCAGAGATGGCTACCGCCCTTGGATGGCGAACTCTCCTTTCATGGCATACACGGCGATTCTTTCTTCTTCTGGTTATCAAGCTGAGGCCCGACTCCTCGATGTCTCAACACATGTGGAAACAATAGCAATCAAAGTGGAGATCATCAAGATCATCAATGAATACCTCAAAACTAGCCTCGGGACGGTCAGTGATGAGGCGATTGCTGCTGTAAATCATCTCTTGATCAATGAGGCAAGTTGTCCCCCCTGCACGTCAGGTCCTCTATTCATCATATACGGCTAACAGTCATAGTGGTATTATGGGGACAAAAACAGCCAAATAGCTCATATGCAAGGGCTACAGCAGATGCTCAGACTACGCGGCGGTCTAGAAGGCATGCAGCAAAATCCGGCACTCTACGCTCTCCTCGTAATGTAAATATCCAATGTTCCTCCCTCCCTTTCCCGACTAACCTCGACACAAATCAGCACCGACTACCAAATAGCATGCACCTGTGAGCGCGAGCTCTCCTTACACAACACCACGCATTCCGATCCCCTCCCCGCACTATTTTCTTATCCATTGGCCATGGAGTCACCCCTGCTCCAATCCAACATCCACTTCATCGATATCTGTCAAACGCTCGATATCAGCAAAGCAGCGGCTGAAATTCTGGACGATATGCGCTTCCTCACTTGCTCGATAATCGCCCTCTCATCCCCCTCTGCCGCCTCCAGTGAGACCAACGCGCAAGAGACCATAAAAACTGTCACCACAGCCCGCTGGATCCACGACCGCGTCTCTGCCCTTCCATCGATTTCCACCCTGAATGAAGACTCGCAGAATCCTCTAGCAGCAGACTTCATCTACGAATGCATCCTCATCGCCTCCACCATCTACTCCTCTGCCATCCTACACCGCGTTCCTTTCTCCTCCGCGAAAGTCTGCAGTCCGGCTCACCAGCAAGCTTTCTGGACAAACATGACGCGCATCCCGCTCTCGAGGTGGAAAACCGTGTCGGGGATTTATCTGTGGCTTTGTCTGGTGTTTTGCCCTGCGGCGGAGTGGACGGGGTATGGACGGTTCCTGAAGAGCATGGTGAGTACGACGTTGACGTATATTGGGCTTGTGGACTGGGAGGGGATGAGGGTGTGTGTGGAGGGCTTTCTAAGGGTGCAGAGGTGGTTGAGGGGGGAGGAAGGGAGAGGGAGAATTGAGGGGTAGTAGGAAGAGGGTAGTTTGATTGGAGGGATGGATGCTGGCATCCTTCTTGAGCCAGTCTATACCTGTCTCTTAGTATCCTTTCTTATTCTTGCCCGTATCTTTAGCCTTAGATCAGATTGTTGTAATAACTTCTTATACTTGCGAGATGACTGTTTGGCGGTGGTAGGCGGGGTTCTTATTTGTACAAAGATATAGTCTTGTTTCCTGAATTCGCTCATCTGCGCGTAAAAACCGATTACCGAGGAGCTTGGCATGAGCAGGCGACATTGGAAAGTTGAAAAGAGTCCCTTGCCTTTGGCAAACTTGCGAGAAGATTGCCCGAGCTGGTGAGAAAGCGCCTGAACCAATCCTGATCGTATAGGGGTAACGTGCCTGATAAAACAGTCCAGGAGTTTACAAATCAGCGCTTATAACGGAGGATCTAGAGCTATACTAGGATAAATCATGATGAGAGAGTAATGAAAAGAAGAGGTTGAAGGACAGAAAATGGAAAAGAAAGAAGAACCATATTTTTCAATTTTAAAGTGAGACGTAAAGAGAGAGGGAGAAAGAGAAGTGGAAGAGATTGCATAATGGCAGAAGAGGTTCAGCCCTCCAGCCCCATCTTGCTCTACTTGCACAACTCCATTCAGGCCATTTTACATTGGGATTGTTATTGGCCAGTGGTTCCTTTGCTAGCTTTTGCTGACATGTGACATCAGAGGTTGGCACTTACAGTTTCATGAACCCCAATTGAGGCCCCAAGGGAAGTCTGCTCTGATGTGTTGACATTCTTCCCTGAGACCTTCCCTGAGACCTTTCCTGTCAGACTTGGTGCTCTCAACTGATCTGCAATGAAATAAATGGTACCCATATTATAAAAACATCAGAGAAATACCGAATTGCTATTTCAATGTTTCAACACTAAATTGATATTCAAATCCGCTCTCAAACGGTGGTTCTCGATTTGAGGGCCCATTCCGATAAGCTTCAGTTCAATGGTCGTCGCTGTGTTTGCCTCATCATCCTCTCTATCACCCATTCTCCTCTTCTTCGACGATGGGCTCAAATATACCTTTTCATTGCCCTCCACTGACGAATCCAAACGTTTGTAAAGGGGCTCAAAATCTGCACAGGAGATCATCACACCCACAGTAGGCTTCGCAGCCAACGGCACCAGTTCATCCCGTTCAATGTCAAATACAATCACTTTGCCACTCCTTGCATCATTTGCAGAAATTTCGACTGTAACGTTACGATCACAGCCTGCGAAATCCGCACACTTGACAACCGTCTCCCAATCGCGGATGGCACGAAACGTGCAATGCAGATCCGGGCATCCGACGCCGGGAATCTCGTCCCCAAGTTTGGGGAAGATATACGGACGATCGATATCAGGGCGTCCGCGGAAAAACAGTCGATGCGCTTCGAGGCGGATGCGGCCATTTGGTGAAAATTTGCGTTGACCGATAATAATGTTCGGATTCTCACGATCAAGGTCACCACCTTCCTTCGAGAGCAAAATCTCCCGAACAACGTAGGTTTTAGTCTCGCCATTGATTATGGAATCTGATGGTGCGGTTAGCATTAGGCACTGATGTGTGGGGGGTAGACGACCTTTCAGCGCAAACAATCGAAACTTTGTCCCGGCATTTTTGCACTCTTCCCAAACCTCGGCATTGTCCTCGTGCTCCCCGGCGACAACGGTCAACAACCCCCCTTCGTTCTTCGATTGCTCAACGACATTGAGGACGGTACCGAGGTGCGTGGACTCTAAATCGCTGACAAAATCCGAGCCGCTCCTCCTCCACGTCTTCCTCCGCTCGCTGCTCTGTCCAGGCGGTAGGAAAATCGAAGCACTGCTTTCGGTGCCTAGTACAGCTTCGCCAGTCTCCAAACCCTCTTCTTCCACAAATGCTGCCTTTCGTTTCATTTGGTTGTGGGTAAATATCAAAACTCTGCTTTCGATGCTTTTATAAACGTGAGTGAGTGCGGGGAAGATGATACTTGTAGACAAAACGGGATCTAAGAATAGATTTTGGCGCGGAGTCTGCTACAGTACAGACTAGCCGTTTTGAGCGATACACCCCGGGTGTCATAACTCTTCAAAGTCGAATTGAGATCTGTCAAGTTCGCATTTATCGCTGCAAGCAGTGCTAACACAGAGCCTTTACCCCCCGCCATCGTTTCAGGTATGTCGAAAGTTTGGCCCGTAGTTGCCATATTGTTCGAGTCCGCATACCAAAAAAAAAAAAAAAAAAAACCACTCTTTTACAAGCAATTCTAGCCGCATCACAAGGTTAAAAGAAATATATAGTTATCAGGATATCGAAAATACTATGGCATGTTAATATATTGAAGTATTTGTAATTATAATAAAGGTATGTATAAAAATCGAATTTTTTGGGGTGGGCGGTTGGCTAGTGGATACTTCTACCCAATTAGGCGTTTCGGTGTAACCGCTGTAATGTTTTTCTCGGCTGACACGTCTGGTGCGTGGGCGAATCCAAACATTGCATAGCGCAAGCGACTATCACTGCTCACCAACTCATAGTCACCACATATTGAATTAACCCCGCTCTCCTCTCCCCGTTTTTGTTTCTTTTTATGTCTCAGCTGGTTATCGTATGATTGCTGCGAGATCGCCAGCCATTGATTGGTAGATGGGTAAGGTTACCAGTAGCTCTCAGCAATGGGAGGCTCTTTGGTGGCTTGGGGCTTGACCTGCAACATGAATTCCACATTAATGGTTGATTGGGCTACTTTGCTGCAATGAAAGCCCGACCAAGACCTGCAGACGATGATCTGGCAAGAAAATACCTCAAACAGCGAGAACGAAATTTTTGAAACTGTGCAAGAAAATCACATCTAGCAGCCCTCTATTTGGCGAGTTGAGAAGCCTGAGCTTGTGCGCATTGCCCGGTGTGACGTAGACGGCTTGCACAGCCACCCCCGCTAGAATGCTACATGCCTCCTGTTGGTAAGGCTTGTAATGTCGTGAGCCTTTGGGCTCAAATATTCACGCGATGTGAGAAATTTGATTTTGTTGTACTTCTTGAAGCTCAATGATATCCCTATTGACAATATTGTTCAGCTCATCAATAATACTCAGCGCTATGTTGTCCATGCCTTTGCGCCTCTCCTCTGAGAACTGGACAACCGCAGATTTCGCTGTGAGGATATATCGCAGATCGGCCTCGAAGAAGGGGGGAGGTTTCTCCTGATTAGCAAAATAGACGGCACTTCGTCCTAATTCGATAGGAAGGCATTTTCTAGTCTGCATTTTATGCAGGACATGAAACTTCATCAATGTTCTTTAAGCCGGATGTGTTTTGTGTATATCAGAATTACGAACCTTCAAGATTGCGATCATAATCGATGGCTTTGAGGAAATAAAGAGATTGCGAGCCGCAATGTTGGAGGCCAGACGCCAGCCTCGGCTTGGATCATTTTATTTTGCTCTGTCTTACTTATAGGCTGCCGAAAGCAGGAACCAGACTCGTATTCAAAACTCAGATTCAAATACAAACGATATAACTTCACCAACTCGATAATCCTGCAGGTGAATAAAACCCGATGTCTTAGACGATATTAAACTGACACCAAAAAGATATTTGACAACAAACTCGACCAGTGAGTCAAATGAGTAGAGTAGAGTAGAGTAGTGGGTTCTACTCATACTGTACTCATATTCTACTCAAGCTACTCATGAGTACTATAAGTAGTATCCACGTAATAGGCACACGTGATATCCTAGCTAAATTAGGTAAACCTCTTGCTTGCTCTTGCTCTAGCGCTCTCTCGCTACCTAATTAGGCAGTAATATTACTTAGTAAGCAAGCTAAAGATTAGAGGCAAATTAAGATTTTAAGGAAGGTAATTATTTTGTTATTATAAAAATTTAGTATTTAGCTAGTCTTACATAAACCCTAATTTACCTTTACTAGAGCTACTTAATAGATACCTGTATTATTTAATTATTATTAAGTAAACCTTAATTTATTATAGCTATATAATAATTATTTATACTACTTATACTACTCACACGTATATACTCTACTCTACTCAAATTTTTAGGAATTACGCTACTCATGAATCTTCGTGAGTAGTATGAGTAGCATGAGTAGTTTTTTGACACACTGAGGATGACGTGAAAGGTTCTTAATCACAGAGGATCTTCCCAATATCTCTTCGACGCGAGACGAGCATCAGAATCTCAAGTATAACATTTCATATTACAGCTTATGCCTTCTCACAAACGTCGGCGGGGTGAGAGTAGCACTCAGTGAGAGACGAATAAAATCCAGCTCGTTGAGAACGGCGGCCTCCACTTTTCCCATGGACCTCTAGGGCTCTAAACTCCCGAGTGCAATGAGTATAATGTTCCGAGAACGTCGCTTTGAAATATTGGATGGTGAGAACCCGGTAGAAGCTTCACGTGTGCACGGTATGATTCATATAGGAGTAAAGTGGAGGCGATTAAATTTCGAACAAGAAAAAATAAACATTTTCATATCCGTTCTAAGTGACAAATCCATTATAGATCTATTAGGTGAGCCAGCCTTGTTTTGAAGATAGGTGCTCATCAGGGTCTGTTGTAACCTCCACGAGGTCCTAACAACTGTGGCATATCAAATGTAATATTCATGTCTTCAAGAAATCTTCATCCCTAAAATCATCGATCTCTCCTACACATGGTATATCCCCCCGCCAATCTTTATACAGCATCTGATAACACCAATACATTTCATCATCATACATTGACAATTCCTTCCATTTTGCTACCTTCAATTCTAGAGAGTCCTAGGGTTAGTTTATATGTCCAACGCTACTTGAAGGAAGGCATCTTCGTAGAGGGTGAGTGTCTTACCTTGGCGAGAGATCTCTTGTTGGATGCTGCGCAGATATTCGATCTGATCGTGCGTCAAGCCATTGCTGATACTACCGCTTCCGCCGAGTTCCGACCGGGGGATTAGTAACGGCATTGAGCCATTACAGGCAAAATGAAAGTATGCCAGCATAGTTTTGCAGGTATGGATGAAGCCTTGCGTGAGGGTTCCTCCCCTTGCTCCGGGCTTTAGAGTTGTGAAGTCAGTATGCACAAGACTACAATTATGCGGAAAGAGAGGAATTGAGGTAATAGTGAGGGAAAATTAAAGTTTTTACCTTTAGTCCGTACCGCTTAGTCCATGCAAGGATATCTTTCATTACCCATCCCATGTTAGACATCATGATGAATATCGTGAGATATATTTCGAGCCAATTCTCCCTCTTTTGCTCATTAATCTTATCTTTTAACCCCTTCAACAACCGTTTCTCAAGAGGGATAAGTAGATCTCGGAGGAAGATATCATCGAGTTGAGTGTCCATCACTGGAGTTACTGGAATTATCCCGTTAAATGGATTTCCGGGCTCGCTTGAGGGCTCAAGTCCAATCATAGCTCCTCCACAGAAAATTCGCCAAGGTCCTTCTATGAAGCGAGTTGCTACCCAGCAATACAGCGCGTCAGATATCAGATTGCTCTAATTGATCAGTCAGCCTAACTTGTAGTTATATTTATAGAACGCTGCCAAGTTGATTACCTGGCCAAAAGCTGTATATGCAAGTGCTGCTTGGAAGGTTCGACAAACAATCGGGTTTGAATCCGTAAGAAGTGCCTCAATATAGCTAGACCGTGCTAAGCAAATAAATTCTCTGATACTACGTCTTGCCGCTTCTATGTCACTGATAAAGTATGGAGGCATATCCATTGTGTGACGTTGTCCTGTTGAGTCTTCCCAGGCATACCCTATTTTGTCCTCTGGCCCAGGTTCAAAGAGAGAGACGGTGACCGAAAGCGCATTATCGAAACCTTCCCCCTTATCCTGGGTGAGGAACAGTATATGAGGAGTATTTTTGCCTCGCGTCTTGTATTTCTGGAGCTCCAACTTTCTCCGCACCCAGAGTTCAAGATTGTTGTTCAACGTCGAGCCTATTGTAAGTTAATGGGACGCTCGTGTTTTCAGGGCTACCACTAACCTTTCCTATGTAGATTGAGGTCCAGGATATTAATACGCATGCACAGCTGGTGGGACAAGTTCACCGAATCTCTTATACACCGTCCACAAGGCTGATAGAGGCTTTCCGCCATGTCACACTATTTGTGTGAGTATAATCCCAGCAAGGAGTTAAGCGGCTGCACTTACACGTATCCTGTGACGACGACATCTTGGACATGCACCTATACGTCTCGTAATGGAAGTCGCATGTTGTAACTCTCTACTTGCAGTTGCACGGACTACTTGGCTGAGACCAAAAACACATTCGGTACCTGTAACCTTCCCTTTGACATCCCTCTTGACCAACACTTTCGGTGCCTTATTGTGAATTTTAGAAGATTGGAGTGAGTATTGAAAGCGGTGTGGGCGTACCATGTCTGTCTTTAGCGCATCTTGCCTCGAAGCCAGGGTATAACATCCTGTCTTCTCTGAGGGCTTTTCCCCTCGGCCACTCTTCGGAGCTAGGGGCTTTCGTGTCCTTGAGGGACTGTACTGAACAAATTTTAGGTTTACGGCAGGCTCAGCGGCCGACTGGCTGGGAATGGTCTCAGATAGAATAGTGCTAGGACTCGAGATGCCCGAAGAACCTAGTTCAAGACCGGGAGACCAAAAGTCTGATGTGGGGCTTTGGTTATCTGACCCAGGACTTCGGAAGACTGCTGCGGGTATGTCATGCTGCAATGTTACATCGGCACCACAGGTGCTCTGGTGATGCTCAACTCGGGTGTCCTCCAAAGCTTTAGGGACACAAGTCGACGCGTGTTGGTTCCGGTATGGTGCTGCTTGAGACACAGATACAGGCGCGAGACAAAGCGTATCTTGGCCGTCGGGAAACGAATGCTGTGATATGGCGATATTCCACGGGACTGCCTGGCCAGTAAGGGCCTGATAGGGTGGCTCGGGATTTGACATCGAGATTTCTGAAGAACAGTGTGCAAGGACCAAAGCAACTATGCCGTGGGGCTACTATTGTTCGTTACGCTTCTTTGAAAGGGACTATACACGGAAGCTAAAAGGGGGAGAGGCGACCCGCTCCAAGATAACATGAATGTTACACAGTTGCACAGGAGGCTATAGTACGGCAGTCTCTAAAATCGGTCAGGCGATTGCCCGATTGCCCAAAGAGGTAATCTGCATGTGCGGCATTCTCCTCTGACTAATCACTCCGCGAGAAGACAGGCTTAGATCGGCCAAGCTACTCCCCAATTGCCCGATTTCCCAAGGAGGGTTATGCACCTTTTACCCTACGGATTGGTGGACAAACTCACCACCACGCACGAAGACAGGTTTCAGATCGGCCAAGCCACTCCCCGATTACCCAACGAGGGAATCGGAACGCCACAACAGAAACAGGAGACGCAGCAGGCCAATCACCATGAGCACCACGTCGAATCGGCGATTCGATCTCGAAAGCCACCAAGGCATGTCAGGCATCTGTAAATTCGACTACTGCGTGCGTGCCCGAGGACAACTGGAACTGCGAGTCTTGAGTCGTGAGTAGAGTGTGCAGGATATGTCAACCCACCAGAGCACCCACACCGCCCTCCTTGTTAATCGCGGCGCCGCTCGCTAGTGGGACAGGACTAGCCAACTAGGGCCGTGGGAGAACGTTGTTCACAATCGACCAATAAGTAAGGCATCCCGCTGAAGCAAGAAGAAAACCGTGGCAATCCTTTGATACGGTATCTGCACCGGATTCCGATTTATTACACTGATGATTACCTTTTTAGGAAATCGGAGAGAGCCATTACAGCAAGACAAAAGAGGTACCTGGTGGCGTTAATCTTACATCAAAGCGACTGCAAGTCAAGCTCCAAGGTGCTTGGAAGGCAGACAACGATACCATTTTGGATATCGGTGAGCTTCTCGTGCTGTTCCAAATCACCAGGCGGAAAATACTCGCACGTTGCGGTGATTGATGAAACTGGCCTCACGATTACCCTTTTGGATAGTCGGGGACGCTGCGGCTCTGATGAACTGAGAGCTGGAGCAATGTTATATACCTAAGGTAAGATCGCTTGGACTTCCGAGCTAAACTATCATATTTCCGGGTGCACGACATAAGGCCCCACACATATCTGTAGGTAGAATATTGCCGAAAGTCGTCGAGGTATCGGCTAGCCCTGCTGTATCACGGCCAATCTGCAGACATGGAGAGGTAAGAAAATAATCCCTCGGTTTAACGAACACCCTCTAACGGCTTGCCAGAGGCCAAAAACTCGGTCAGCACAGAGCGCTGCGTTGCTCCATGTGGACCCTCGCAGAAGATCTCGCGGGAGTAGGGGCTTGGGCTTGGCTTGCACCCGAGTTGGATCTTGGAAAGGTTGTATTTACGAACCAGACAAAGAATTCGGAGGATTTGGACTATGAACTCATCAACGAACGCCATTTCGGAACCTTGAAACAAATCCAGCTCGATGCACATGTGCATAGAGAGCATCGCCGCTCGAAAATGAGCTTGCTCAGACAATATCTCCTCGAAACAAAGTCTGAAAACCTAACCACTCAGGAACGAATCATGCGCAGGATAATGGGCCCGGATTTTGCAGCTGCAAACGGTTCGAAGAGGATTCGTGGCAGTCTATTATAGACACCAATCTTAAAATGTGCTGTCCGTGACCGGAGAGTCCATTCTCACTGCTTGTCTAGTTTCATTACTTGAAGGTCTTTTGTCAACGATGGATCAGAGGGCGTACTGGAATCGGCACAGGAATTGAAGTAAATAACATTACCAAGACATAGTAACAGCGATTAGTGCAAGGACTTGTAAATATAACAGATTTTTATACAAGCAATTTGATATTTTTATGCAAACAATATTACTCTGAATAACTTTCTATTACATAATGCATAATGCAGCTGGAGGTTTATGTTGCTCTATTATCCACGTGATAATGCTAAAAATTTCGCGCGGAGGATAGGGAAAAGCGGGTCCAAAACTTCGATAAGTCTTTACTACCCCGCCCCCTTGAATAATTCAGGGTCACGATACCAATAACACCAAGCCTGCACAGCCCATTTCAGGGATCTTTGACCAATAATGCCTCTCTAACGCACCTGGCATTCCCTAGTTCGAGGATATTAACGACGTCTCAGGGTGGCGTTACCCAGGTTTCCACCCGTAATTATTCAAGGAGGGCGGGGATAGTTTTATCTCCAGTCCATCGCCGGCTTCGGCCCCACCATTTTTCTTCCAAAACCATTGCCCCAGCTAGACAGAACTGCCAGTTATTTATTTCTTCATTCAGAGTCCAGACATTTAGTAAGTACTAAAGGCTGTCAAACAAAGGACAAGTCATTATGACCTCCATTGCTGGGGGCCGCAAGCCTAAGGTGCTGAGTTTTGGCCCAATAAATTATGCTGATGGAGGGGAGGGATATATGAAGGATTTTGAAAAGCAGTGGGATATAGATGTAAGTGCTTCTACACCTTCTATATAAAGACATGTGATGAACCAAATCACGACACAGATTCTCAAACCCACAAGCCGTATAGACACAATCGCAAACCTCAAAACGAAAGTTTCTCACTCTGGGCCTTACGATGCCTTGATGATCCATGATCTTGACCTGATCATTGACGAGGAGATGCTTACGCCGCTGCTACCAGGCCTCAAAGTCGTTGTGTCGGCGTCAGCTGGATATAATGAGTTCGATGTTAACTTCATGACTGCGAATGGTATTTGGTTCTGCAACGCAAGACACGCAGTCTCCGAAGCCACAGCGGATTTGGCCGTCTTCTTGATCCTGGCGGTGGTGAGGGATACGACCAGGGGAGAGAAGCAGGTGCGGGATGGAAGATGGAGGGGGCAGATTACGCCAACTTTAGATCCGAATGGGTTGACCTTAGGAATCATAGGTATGGGTGGAATTGGGAAGGTAAGAACATCCGGCTGTTACAGCTCACCTCACTCCCCAAAGCAGGAAACGCAAACTCACCTTCCGTGACTCCACACCAGAAGTTCCCAACCTATCCATCAGATTCAGATGCATAAATACGGAATTTTGGAGAGACATTTACTGATCTAAGAACCTCACAGCATATCGCAAGGAAGATTTCTTGTTTCGAGATGAAAGTACATTACTATAACCGCAACCGCCTCTCACCCGAAGACGAGTACCGGTACGGTGCGAAATATTGCTCCAGCATGGAGGAACTACTCTCAATCTCCGATGTTGTTTCTGTGAACTGTCCGCTGAATGCCAGCACGCGTGGCTTGATCGGCAAGGCAGAGTTCGCACGAATGAGAGACGGTTCTTTCATCGTCAACACCGCCCGTGGTGCAATTGTGGACGACGAGAGTCTTGTTGAAGCCGTCAAGAGCGGAAAAATTGCAAGAGCTGGCTTGGACGTTTTTACCGACGAGCCGAAGGTTAAGTATGCTATCCTTATCTGCGGAGATGACAGGACACTGATTGTGCACTCGTAGCCCGTATTTTGTCGAATGTGACCGATTTACCTTGCAGCCTCATCTTGGAGGCATGACTGTGGGAACATTCAAGAAGGCGGAAAGGGAGTGCTGTGAGAACTTGAAGTCTTGGTTCCAGTCTGGGAAACCGTTGATGTCTATCAACAAGGCTTGACTCGTCACGGCCTGCTAAATGTAGGGACTAGTTATTTATATAATCTAGTGTCTCCAGATTTAGAATTTATGGTCATTCTTCAAAGCTATACTTGAAGTCTAAAGATCTGGATTATCTACACTTTGACTTACGATCCTCCTGAATTCTTCTTCTCGATGGCTGTTACCTCGTGCAGTAAAGCTCTTCCATGATTACAAACTAAATACTACTTTGATCTCTCGTCCATTCCTCTATAAGGCAAGGATCGACATCCCGTACAAGGACGTGGATGTGGTCCAGCGCCCTCACGCTTTGCAAAGCGGCCCAATTCTTGAACCATATGACTCGAGGCTCTGCACAACGTCCAATCCTATCAACGAAATATCTCTTAACAAAACTCTCAATTGACTTCCTGCTCTCCAGGGTTATATCGCCGATATCCGAATCGGTTGGGATAGCAGTTCTGGTCCAAGCAATCATATGCGTGATATTTGGTGCAAAGCCGTACGGCCAGTCATTCAGTAAGACTCGATAGTCGGACGGATCCTCGAAAGGGATGCATGACAGTGGTGTGAATGGAGGCGTTCCCCATGCTTTAGGGAGACGATGAACAAGGAGATAATTTGTCAAGCTTCCATATTCTGCCGTTGTTGCGGCAGTCCATTGCCGGTAACGACTCATCTCAGATGGCGTTCTCTTCAGTACGGAGAGGTTGTTCGTCTCTGCACTGCTCTTAGCAAGGACTTGGCAAGTATTCGTTTTCGTCTTATCCCGAATGGGGACAACCACGACTCATGACATACCAACAATAGCTCGCAAATCATCCCAGGTTATATATGAGGTATGCTCTTCGGTTTGCGACACTTCGGCCATTTCAGCACTGGTTCGTTGAAGTTGGGGTCTCTCGTTCAGAGTTTTTTCTATTCTAACATCCCAGGGGAAACTTTAGCTCCAAATATGGCAGAAAAACTCTTGACCCTGCTGTTGGGATGTGCCTTGGATGATGCTCGTCAGCTTATTCTATAGTCTCGGCCATTATCATGGAAAAAGATTGCAAAAGATAGAGGTACCTGTAGCAATATATATGAAGGCTGAATGAGAGTTTTTTTAAATTTTTTTACACTTCATGACTTAAAAAGCAGTCTTTCAGAGATTTCGTACCGTAATTACTTGCTGAAAGAGAAGAGATACGGATCACATACGCTCACTAAGGGAAGAAAGTTAAGCTTCAGGATCGCATTTTCTCCTCTTGCAAATTCCAAAAAGAGGCTGGATTTCCATAATTATGAAGCAGGACTTGGTTTATTGACCTTGCGGGGTGCTCAGTAATGAACTTGAAAAGGTAAGTTAAGCCACGCCGCTGAGTGCGACCTGCTTAGAACATCATACGATGATCTGAATTAGTTCAAGGACGTTCCGACGCCGAACAAAGTCAAGCACGATAAAACGAGGGGTGCCTCGGCGAGCTGCTTTCGGGCTGGCTCATGGGAAGCGGGCGTGGCGTCGACGCCCTTCTAGCCCCAAATTCCAGGGCCAATCCAGTTGCAGTACTCTACAATGTCATCGTGGGGTGAGCGATTTATATTCCTGAAAAGGCAAAAAAAAAACTTGATAGCGGTAAGGCCGGCCGGCATCTCCGGACGTCAGATTGCAATATCATTCCAATGTGTGGGGTACTGTGGGGTGCGATGGAAAAACACTTAAACGCCACTCCAACTGCCTGCTTTCGAGATATGTATAACTCTACACTACAATCCTGTGAGAAGGCTTGGAGAGCAACCACTAGCAAATGGCGTTTCCGGAATCTCTTCCTCGCGTCGCCGTTGTAGGGTGTGGCCAATGGGGCCGGAATCTCGTGCGGAATTTCGCCAAACTGCGAGTCTTGGATGCTATTGTTGACGCGATTCCGTCTCGTGCAGACAAGGCAGCAGAACAAATCCGATCGCAAGGCTACGAGAATTCTGTCAAAGCCCGCGATTGGGAGAGCGTCTTGGCCGACCACTCGATTACAGCTATTGTGCTCGCGACACCGGCTCCACAGCACGCCGACATGGCGATTGCAGCGTTGGACGCTGGGAAACACGTCTTCGTTGAAAAACCATTGGCACTAACAGTTGCTGACGGCGAGCGCATCCTGGACGCGGCTCGCAAGGCGAGAAGGATGGTGATGGCGGGCCACAGCTTCCAATACCACCCGGCTTTTGTGAAGCTGAAGGCACTCGTCGACGAGGGACAGCTTGGTCGCCTGCGGCACATCCACTCGCGCCGGCTGGGGTTTGGGCGCATTCGTCATGAGGAAGATGTCTTTTGGAATCTCGCTCCTCACGACATCTCGATGATTCTCGCCCTGGTTGGCGTTGGCCAATATCCCACAGTGGTCCAGGCTCAGGGGATCGGACACCTGCGCCCGCACATTGCAGATGTGGCCAGCGCCGATTTGACGTTTGCCAACGGGCTGCGCGCGCAGATTCTGGTGTCGTGGATGTATCCCGAAAAGGAGCGCAAGTTGATTGTTGTTGGAGAGCGGGCAATGGCTGTGTTTGATGACTGTGAGCCATGGGAACGGAAACTACGTGTGTTCCATCACCATGTCGACTGGACGACCGGATTTCCAGAGCCCCTGAAAGGCGAGACCAAAATAGTACAAGTACTCATGGCAAGCGGAGGGGGCGAACCGGAACCAGAAGCGCTGGCATACGAATGCGGCCATTTCCTCGACTGTATCCAGAGCGGCACAGAGCCTCTGACCGGCCTTGACGAAGCCCTGCCTGTTATCCGCGTCCTCTGCGCGGTGGGCGAAATATTGCGCCAGGGCCAGAAGCCTGCCACGACTTCCACATCTGCCAGTCTCAGCCCCGTGTTGCTGGCAGGAAGCATCTCCGAGGACAAGGCAACATGCACACCGGTTGGTGAGAAAGTGAAGATTCCCATTATCGACCTTGCAGCTCAGAAATGTAGGATCAAGGACCGTCTGCGCGGGATGCTTGCCAAAGTCCTCGACCACATGCAGTTCGTAATGGGCCCCGAAGTGGCAGAACTCGAGAACCGGCTCTGCGCATACTCGGGCGCTGCCTCCGCTATCACCTGTGCCAGCGGCACGGATGCGTTGACGCTTGCGCTGTTGGCCCTGCGAGTGCAGCGAGGGGATGCCGTGTTGGTTCCAGCCTTCACATTTGTTGCAACCGTTGAGCCTGTGGTGCTGCTTGGTGCTGTGCCGGTATTCGTCGATGTCGATCCCGATAGCCTCACCATCGACCCGGCCCTGGTCAATGCAGGTGTTGCCGCTGCCCGCGAGGCAGGGCTGCGGCCAGTGGGCATTATCGCCGTGGATCTTTTTGGCTATCCCGCCAACTATGAGGCCCTGCGCTTGGCTGCCGCAAGTGCACAAACAGAGAGCCTCTGGATCATCGCTGATGCCGCCCAGAGTTTCGGTGCCAGCGTAGATGGCCGCCGCGTTGGTACCTTGGCAGATATCACAACGACAAGCTTCTTCCCATCAAAGCCGCTGGGTTGCTATGGGGATGGTGGCGCTGTCTTTACCGACAACGCAGAACTTGCTGCCATACTACGATCCTTACGTCTGCATGGGCAAGGTGCGGAAAAGTTCGACAACGTTCGAGTTGGCTTAAACAGTCGGCTTGATACCCTCCAGGCCGCCGTTCTACTTTGCAAGCTTGATATTTTAGGAAACGAGATTGACTCCAGACAGCAAGTTGCATCGCTTTACACTAGCATTCTGCAAAACGCAGATATAGCACGCCCGCCTGTCCTGCGCGAAGGCGTTATTTCGGCATGGGCGTCATACACAATACGCACTACAGAACGTGCTTGCCTTGAGGCTCGTCTGAAGGCTCAGGGCGTTACATCGGCCATATACTACCCCCGTCCTATTCACAAACAACCCGCATACCAGGCCTATCCTGTCGCAAACGGGTCGTGTGCAGTCGCTGAGTGTGCTTGCAGCGAGGTTTTAAGCATCCCTATGCACCCCTATCTCGAAGACAGCACACAAAAGCACATTCTGGCAGCTATGGACCACTGACAAGTATTTAGATAGGCTTGTCCAGACTCCCCCAACCCTCAGTTATACATACAAGACATATTCTTCAAGACACAGTTCCTTTTACGGCTCCGCTTGAAGCTACATCTCGGCCACAGTCTCAAAATCGTAACTGAGCTCGCAGCCGAGAGTTTGGAACATTTATGATCGCAAAAGTCTTTTTAATCTCTTCTCGCTACGGGACGGATTTTCGTTCTCCCAATATCAAACACTGCAAGAACATTTTTGAAGAACTAAAGGCCCACGAACGCTTTTATTTTGTCTAATACCAGCTTTAATTATCGAGTAATAAAAGCTAGTATTTGGTTGTTGTAATTACAAGTAATCAAAAGACGTGCGGCCGTGCAAAACAGGCCCTACAACAATTTATTGCTATTGGATTTGACAAATTTTTGGGGCAATTTGGGTAATAGTAAACAAACTGATTGATTTTTACTATGGGCGTTCTATACAAATTGGAAAAAATTTGGTTCGGTGCGGGACAACTCGCTTCCCCCGACTAAAGGGAAGGCCACTTTAGCGCGACATTAAGTCCGACGAATAATTCCCGTCGTCCGGAGCCGGATACAAAATCCCGATTCCCTCGAAATGCACCTTCAACCTCCTTACTCTCCTTCAGCGCCAAAGCCCTCAACTACTCCACGTCATCCAAGATCTTCCATCAGCATCCTTTTAGATCAAGAGGATTGTGGTCTTCACGCCACTCATAACTTTTGTGCGGCCGATGAGGAGAACATACACAGGCCGTGGGGGCTGCAAATATGATGGGTCTGAGACGAATGCATCGTCGGAGATATCAAGTAGCACTCGCTGAGCGCGCATCTCCTTGAAGTCAGGGGATTCTGTATAGAGAAACGCCCCCCGCGACCACCTGCAGAGGCGGAGGCAGAAATCACGAGATATGCCTGAGCGTTGACGTTGGCCATCTTTGCTAATTCCTACCAATCTTTAGCATCCCCCTGAATGAGGCATAGGAAATCGATCCCGGCGACTGGGAAGTGGGCTCCCTTTCTTGGCTATGAGAGAAAGACTGACACTGGCTGCGCTAAGCAAAACTCTTTCAGGGACAGCGTTGGCCAGATTGCGCCCTTCACTAGGCCATGCACAAAAGTAAGCACTAATAAATCTGTATCGCCCCAGATGATTCGCGCAATTGCCACGACGCTGACATCAGGCAAATCTGAAGCGAATGCGATCATCACTCGAGCCTGACACCAGCTTCAATTGGTCCTATAAGATTCGACAACGACGCTGACATCAGACAAATCCGAAGCGAATGCGATCTTCACTCTAGCCTGAAACCTGCTTCAATTGGTCATATACGGATAAGATTCTACGACGGTGAATGATCATTCCTCCGATGTGGGGGGAAATGCAGTATCTACGTATAGATACAGCAAGGTCCGTAAGCTTATCAAGTATAACCCAAGCATAGTTGCCAAGCTGCGCTGATATCGTACGACTATTTGCAATCGACTAAGACATCACTTTATCAGAACCTCATCCAACCTTCTCTTAAATATCTCCCGCCTCGCATGCTCATTTCGTATTCACATTTTATCAATCAAAACATCAACGCCATGGCCGCGCATAAGAAGCCTTTTATAGTAATGGCCGCCCACCCCGTCAACGGGCATGTCCAACCCGTCCGCCTTGTCGCCAGCGAACTCATAAAGCGCGGCTACCAAATAACTGTCCTCCTTCCACACGCCTACAAGGAATCCTTCGAGAAGCTGGGTCTCACCTTCATATCCCTTACCGGAATCGCCGACTATACCGAGAAAGACTTCGACACTATGCAGCCCGAGCGAAAATACTGGCCCCCAGGCCTCGAGCAGATGGTCTACCGATCTCTAGTGCCCATTCGAGCCACCTTCCGGCAGTCGCGTACCCTGCAGGGCATTCTCCGCGATCTAAAGGCGCGAGAGCCAGATCGGCCCATCGTTATGGTCCAAGAATCCTGGTTCCAAGGCAGCGTCCCTATGCTCCTCCGCCTCCCCGAGCTAGTCTACGTCCCCGTCATCGCCCTCGGCGTCACCCCCCTCATGATGCCCAGCATTGACTTCCCCCTCCTCGGTATCCGCGCCTTCCCCGACACCTCGCCCACAGGCCGCGCAAAGGCCAAAGCTCTACTCCGTAGCATGATGCCGGCATTCGAGCGGGCGCAGCGGGAATTCCAGTGGGTGTTGGAGGATCTGGGATTAGAAGAAGGAAAGGAGATTCCTCACATGAGCGAGCGGTTCCAGCTCCCGGAGGCTCATTTGCAGATGTGTATTCCGAGCTTAGAGCTCCCGAGGACGGACATGCCGCCTAATGTGCGGTTTATTGGGGGCGTTCCGGCGAGTGATGTAGATGTGTGGAAAGGTAGGCCTGGGTGGTGGAGTGAGGTAGAGGGGACCAAAGGGGAGCGGGATGTTATTGCTGTTACGCAAGGGACGATGGATATCGATTACTCGGAGCTGATCATTCCAGCAATCGAGGCGCTGCGAGACAGACCGGACACCATCGTGGTGGTAGTTTTGGGATGGAGAGGCGCAATTTTACCGGCAGAGATTAGTATCCCAGCACACATACATGTGATGGACTATGTACCATACACCGAGCTCCTAAAGCACTCGACGCTCTTCGTTACAAATGGCGGGTATAATGGCGTACAGCAGGCTCTTAGTCACGGTGTTCCTATTCTCAAGGCTGGCAACGACGGCGACAAGAAGCACACTGGCAACCGAATCGAGTGGGCTGGGTGCGGACTCGATCTTTGGGTGACTCGACCGACGGTGGAGCAGGTTCGAGAGGGTGTTGAGACTGTGCTGAAGGACCGAAAGTTCAAGGCGAGGGCACTTGAGATGCAGGAGGAGGCGAAGAGGTATGATCCTATTGAGTTGATTGTAGAGGAGATTGAGGCGATGGCGGTGGGGAAGCATAGCGATGGAGCTGATCTGAGAACGCCCACTTGGACGAGCATATTTGGTGACGATGAAGTAGGTGAGGGGGATATTTGTATGTGATGCGGGATGTGTAAGATGAGACATTCCAAGTGCGTGCTTCAGAGTCCAGAGGTGTTAATAAGGGGGTGCTGCGTGGTTTCAAGCTATACGTGAGGAGTCAAAAGCATCAAACATCATGAGATTGCGAGGACTCGCACGAAAATTAGAAACTGGAGATTTCAAACCGTTTCTAGTCCATCATTAGATAACCGCGTCCAACTCACTTTCAACGCCATCACATCACAATCCAAGTCGTCTGTCCTTGGCGACTAAATGTCTCAATTGTCGACAATTGAGAAAAGAGGAGCGTCTGAGAACTCTGGAGCAGCCTCAAGAGGAGGTGTCAAAGAACGAAATTCAATGGCCGTGAGATTCGTCGTTCTGCTTGTTCCTCACTCGGCGGGTTGGCCACTGAGATTTGTCGTTGCCGACTGGGCCATCAAACGGTGACTGTTTAAGCGTACAACGCCTGTGCGAAGCGCTATAATTTTCCCACACGAGAGCCTGCAAGGCCCCAACTGCTATGTCATATTTAATATTCGCATTGGCGCTCTCTTGCTACAAGCGCAACAGCCGGCCAGGGCACTTCTCGTCAAAACTCTGCTTATTAATAAATGACAAGCTCATCTCGACTGGCCGATGGGCATAGAATTTTCTAGCTTCTGATGCAGGAAGGGGGTTGATTTCCTAGGAGAAAAAGTCAAAGAATGACTTAGTTCCAAAACATTCGTTTTAGGAAGGTACTGTCTTCTGTGGAACTTGTGTCTTCGCTGGTGGGAGTCTTCAATCAAACTCTTTCCACACTTGAATTCGATTTTGTATTCCACAATTCAATCTACCAGCCTCGCGGAGGTGACATAAATAGGTTGAGGCTGAACAATTTGCTTTTCTGGAGGTCCCGCTCCTTGTGCAACCACACCTGAATGCCATTGTCCACTCTTACCATTCGGATGACAGCATCCCTATGATCTTTTCCCAATCCAGTCATAGAATTGTGTGAGCGGGCTGTTTTGTGGGGAAAAAGTAAAATGAGACCCTCAAGGGTGTCGATGGGGGTATCGATTAGGCGCTAGACTAACCTGCTAGCCCAAAGTAGAGGGGAGTTCGGACAAGAATATTGAAAGTGTACCTTTTTCTTTAAATTTGCTTTGCTTTATAAGGAATTAATAGAATTTAATATTTTCTTTATTTTATTATAATACGGAATAAGGGCTATTTAAATATAACTTTTTTTTAGAAGAGAAATTTAATTAATAATAGTTCTTTTAATTAAATAAATTATAAAGCTAATATTTTATAACTTAAACATAGCTTTTAAAAAGCCTAGAAATTTAGTAATTATATCCTTAAAACTAAATAAAAAAGTCTTATAAGCCTTTAATTTATAAGGCTTTAATTTATAAGGCTTTATAAAACTAAAAACTAGAACTTAATTAATTAGTTAATAAATATCTTTGAATTAAAAATTATATTTTAAGTAATTTTTTATTATAAGTTAAAAAGCATATAATTATATTATAAGCTTTATAATAGCTAGTATAATTAAATAATTTGCCGCGAATATTATATAAGAAGAAACATGCCTAAAATAGAGCAAGTAAGTATGACGGCTAGTGTTATATGGTTGGTTTTAGCCAAAGGGGTTGGTTTCAGCTAAGGTTCCAAGCTATGGTTCAAACCAAGCTCGCTTCCAAAGCTCGGCGTTTTAGTGGTCTTGGCCATACCTACTTATCCACTGCCACACCTCACTCCTGTCCTCCTTAGCTTTAAATTCTTAAGACATAGGAAATCATTAATCTTTGAGCCTCGTTCCATTGCTCTGTTCCTACCGTTATAGTAAGCTAGAGACTAATAAAAGACTACTAAAAGTCGAAGCATTCCCTTCTTCTTTATTCTCTAGTTTAGTATTTTTAATATATGAGATTCTCTAAACTTTAAGCCTTTAATTATTGCTTTAATTCCGCTATTACAATAATAAGGATATTAAACTAAAAGCAAGATATATAGGCTTTCAGAGCGTGCGATTATAGTATTATATAAGTGAGACAAGAATTAGAGTAAAGCTTATGTGAGGCACGTAATAGCAGGGTAATATACAAGTAGTTAAGATAAGTAAGCTGCAGAGTAATACTTGCAAGTGTAACTGATTCCAAGAATCGATTCCAATAAAAGACTAATTAATACCCCTTTCCAAAGCTAGAAGCGTCTCCCTATGTGTTCCCTAGTACTTAGCCAAGCCTGCAAAGCACTTTACTTAACTAGGAAACACGATCCCATGTAATCCGTATAATTCCGATTGCCTATATAATTCCGATTACAAGCTTTACCTAAAATAGGAAACTAGATCTATAATATCTAATACCTGTCTATATGCTATTACGTATACCTATTATATTAATTCCTCCTCTGGGCCCTTATTCCCAAGAGGCCTGAGAGAACTGCAAATAGCTTTATAAATAATTCCCTGAAATCTTTCCGGCTATTAGTCCTCCCTAAAGACTCTCTATAATTGCCCTATTATTATGCCAGGTAATAAACTTAAGAATATAGTTTACTAACCCTATCTAGCTAATCTGCAAATTGCCTCTGGCGATTTCTTCTTATAAAGGTAATACGGATATGGCATTTACTATTAGATAAGAAGCTTTTCCGGTCTTCTAATTAGTTTATAAATTCTAATTTAGCCTCTATTTATAAATAAATTATTATTCTATAGGCCCAAGAGCTTAGAAAAGTTAATCCGATCTTCTAATTTATTTATAAATTCTTTCTTTAGAACTTTCTGGGTATTTCTGGTATAGAGCCGGTTCTGAATTCGTAATTACTATTTAAAGAAAGGGTATTATAAAAAGGCCTCTCTTTTCCTACTAACTAACCTTTTTTTTTCTTAACTATAATATTATATCTAGCTTTTTCTCGTCTCTTGCCTTTCTTTTTTAAGCCTTTTTTAAGCTCTTTTAAGCTTCTTTAAGCTTTATTTAAGCTTTATTTATATTTTCTTCTAATTCTTTCTTCTAATTCTTTATTTATTAAAATAAATACTTCTTTTAGTACTTATTAGCCTATTATTATTTATTTGGCTAATATTTTTATATTCTTAATTTGCTTTTACTATTTTTAATATTTCAAGAATATTATTAAGTTTCCTAATCTTATTTATATTAAGAGTAATAATTACTTAGTATATAATTACTATTATTTTAAGAATAAGAAATATAATTTTATAAGTTATAATTTCCTTTATTTATTTCTTATTCTAATATTATCTAAGGTTTCTTAAATATATATAATATAATTAAATTACTTTTTTTAAGCTATTAATATATATAAGTATTTTTCTTATTTTTTACTTAAAAGAAAAAAGGCTATTATTATTCTTTTTTTATATTAAATAAAATATATTTCTTATATTAAAGCTATTATTTAAAGCTAATAAATTCCCCTAATAATTCAAGAAATAGATTAAGTAATTTTTATTAACTTAGTATAAATATAAAGTATTCTTAATAATATAATTAATATTTTTTAGTATTAAGTAAGCTTATTTCTTTCTTATTTCTTACTAATAACTAATAGTTTTATAAGCTAATTTATTACTTATTTCTCGAGAGAATTCTAATAAGAATAATAATAAAAATAATAGAAAATAGTTATAAAAGTAAGATATTTATAAAATATAGAAATTAGAGTTTTTAGAATTCTTAATAATTTTTATATAGTTTTTCTAAGAATAAATATATAGTTTTTAATAGTTTCCTAATAAAAGTATTTATTTTTTATATTTCTATTTAGCTAATAATATTATAATATTACTTTTTTCTAAGTATTCTTATAATTCTTAAGCTATATTTTCTAGATTACTTAGTAGTTCTTATATATTATTTACTAGTAAATAGCTTTTCTAATAAATAAGATACTTTTTTTCTTTTTTTTCCTTTTTATAAGCTATAATAAATTTTATTTCAAATTCTTCTTTACCTTTAATCTTAACTAGTTCTAGTTCTATTATAATATTAGCTTATAGGTACTATAATTTCAAGAAAGAAATATAGAAAATATTATAAATCTAATATAATAATAATAATTTCAAATAATATATTTATTTATATATTTCTATAACTTTTAGAATTTTAAAAAAGCCAAGATATTTATTTATTAGCTTTATACTAGATTATAGCTATTAAATATTCCTTATATAAAATATAACTTTATTATATATATTAAATTTCTTATTAATATATTTCTTATTATAGTATTTTTTTTATATTTATTACTTCTTATTATTATTTCTCTAATATTTTCTATTTTATTTAAATTCTCTATATTCTTTTCTATATTACTAGTATTTCTTTTTCTAGAATATTATTCTTAATATATAATTTAATACTAGAATAAAATTCATATAATATATAAAATAAAGAAATTTCTATTAATAAATATATAAAGTTATTATATATAAATTCTATAAGAATAAGCTTTATTATCTAGTTATCTTATTAGTAGCTAGTATAATACCTCAAGTATTATTTTAGAGTTTAATTTAGATTCTTTATTTATTTATTAGTTTATAAGTAAAATACTATACTTAGCTATTATTAAATCTTTAAATAGAAATATAAACTTAATTAGAACTTATTTATAAAAACAAATTCTTTATTAGAGGTTATATTTATAAGTATACTAAAGTCTTTAATAATATAATATATAAATAGTTTTACTAATTTAAGAGCCGAGATATCTTTAGTAATTAAAATATATTATATTATTTTTATATATTTATTAATAATAATAAATATAGAATTATATATCTTATTATAAAACCTAGAAAAAAATAGTCCTATAATAAAGTCTATAGTAATTTCTTACTATAGCTTAAAGAGAAAGAGAAATATACTAAATATACTATATAATAAATATTTCTTTATCTTAGTTTATTAATATATAAAATAAGTTCTAATATAGTCTTTTATATTCTTTTTTATATTTTACTAGAATTACTTTTTCTAGAAAATCTCTAGTAT